TATTTTACAATTGAAGTTGACATACAGTATTAGTTTTAAGTGTACAATATAGTGATTAGACATTTATATAACTTATAAAATTATGTCTCTGATAAATCTGATCTCACCATATAGTTATAGCATTATCAACTATAGTCTCTATACTGTACTTTATATTCCCTGGTTATTTTAATAACTGGCAATTTATACTTTAAAAATTAAAAAAATTAAAATTATTGTTGACATTACTATTATTAGTTTCAGATGTTCAATATAGTGGTTAGACATTTATTTAACTTACAGAATGATTCCCCAATTAGTCTGGTATCCACCTGATACCATATACAATTATTACAATATTATTGACTATATTCCCTTTGCTCTACATCCTGTGACTATTTTGCTTTGGCTATTTGGAGCCTTTTGTTTTTACATGTAAATTTTAGTATTATTTGTTCTGTGAAAAATGCCATTGGCATTTTGATAGGAGTTGCGTTAAAACTCTAGACTGCTTCGGGTACTATGGACCAGCAGTCGTCAACTGGTGGTCTGTGGACCAATGGTAGTTCGTGAGGTTCAAAGAATTGTGACCGCTGCTGTGGACAGTTTAATGATATTAATTCTTCCTGTCCAAGAGTATGGTATATATTTCCATTTATTATATATCTTTTTAATTTTTTTCTTTAATGTTGTACAGTTTTTTGGGTATAGATCCTTTACCTTTTTGGTAAATTTATTCCTAGACTCTTTGATGTAATTCTAAATGAAATTGTTTTCTTAATTTCTCTTTTTGATAGTTATTGGTGTATAAAAATGCAACTGCTTTGTGAATATAATTTTGTATCCTAGTACTTTACAGAATTCACTTATCAGTGAATTATCCTCCCTTGCAGACCTGGTCCCTTCTCTGTGGACATATTGTGGTGGCCATCTTGTGTCCACATTGGGGCAGCCATCTTGTGTGTTAAAGTGATGGTCAATTTGCATGTTACTCTTTTATTAGATAGGATTATTGTGGGTAGGACTTCCAATACTATGTTAAATAAAAGTAGTAAAAGTCAACATCTTTGTCTTGTTCTTGATCTTAAAGGAAAAGCTTTCAGATGTTCACCCTTGAGTATGGTGTTAACCCTTGAATTGGTGTTTGCCATCTATAACTTTATTATGTTGAGGTATGTTTTCTCTATCCCCACTTTTCTGAGTGTTTTAAATCATACATTGATTTGGGCTTTTTCTAAATATCTTTTCTGCATATATTGAAATAACAGAATTTTTATTCTTCATTTTGATTATTTGTTAATTGTTTTGTGGATATTGAACCAACCTTATATCCCAGGAATTTTTAATGTATTGCTCAATTCAGTTCTCTAATGTTTTGTTGAGGATTTTTGCATATATTTCATCAGAAATATTGGCCTATCATTTTCTGTTTTTGTAGTGTTTTTATCTACTTTTGATACCAGGATAATGCTGGTCTCCTAAAATGAGCTTAGGAGCCTTCCCTCCTTTTTAGTTTTTTGGAATAGTTTGAGAAGGATAGGTATTAATTTTTCTTTGTATGTTTGATAAAATTCACTCCTGATGCCATCTGGTCCAGGACTTTGTTTTATTGGGAGTTTTTTGATTACTGACTCGATTTTATTAGTTTTCAGTCCCTTCAGATTTTTTGTTTCTTTCTGGTTCAAACTTGGGAACTTGTATGTTCTTAGGAATTTTTTCATTTCTTTCAGGATGTCCAATTTTGGGGGACATATAATTGTAGTATTTCTTGTAACCCTTGTATTTGTGGTGTCTGTTGTCACTTCTCTTTTATTTCTGATTTTATTTATATGAGCTTTCTTTTTTTCTTATTGAGTCTGGCTAAAGGTTTATTAGTTTTTTTATGTGTCCAAAGAACCAGCTGCTCATTTCATTAATCTTTTCTATTATTTTATAAACTATTTCATTGGCTTTTGCTTTGATTTGTATTATTTTTTTTCTTCTCACTTTGGGGCTTTGTTTTTAACATATTTTTATTGATTTCAGAGAGGAAAGGAGAGGGGGAGAGAGATAGAAACATCAATAATGAGAGAGAATCACTGACTGGCTGCCTGTTGCACACTCCCACTGGGGATCAAGCCTGTAACCTGGGCATGTGCCCTCACTGGAATCAAACTGGGACCTCCTGATTCACAGGTTGACACTCAACCACTGAGCCATGCCAGCCAGGCTTTCATGACAATTGGATTTTGAAGGTCTGATTTAGAGTGCATTCCATGTGGAAATGAAAAAAAAAAGGATAGAAGTGTGTTATGTTTTTTGCGTTCATTTAAAATCTAAACAATTTAGAAATGAAGCCAATATTTCAACAGAACAAACTTCATCTTTCAGCTACAGAGATGTATAGTTGAAATGCTTTTTCAATTAATCAATCTGCTTGGACCTTACTCAAACTGAACATTTATCCTACATTTGCCTTAGTTGTAATTGTATTGGCATATTGTGGGTTAAATTATCAAATAGATTTATATTTAGAGAACGTACTTATCACATTTAAAACTTAGCAGCTAGAAGAATTTGAGGACTTATTCTTTTGAATATACGTATAATCCTTGCTATATTTATATAGATTCTTTTTCCTAGTCTTGGACGTGAACCAGGAAATTCATTGTTTCTAATCTATAAAATTTTTAATGTAAATGTAGTAGGATTTTTTTATTTGTTCTATTGCAAGAAAAAGAGTATGTTCCAAAGATGCAATCCACTCTGATCTTTTACACTAGAAAGGTGGGAGTAGAGTTTTTATTTTCTGTCAGTTTATAAGAGACAAATGACTGATAAAGGCTAATAGGTTGGTTGCTTTTATTTCCCTAGAAGTAACTCTTTGGTAAATACAAAGTCAACCTTTTCTTTTGTCTTTATAGTCTGTTATAGTAAAGTGATAACTGATTTTTTTCATAATGAAAGAAACCACATGTTAGTGGAAGATTAGATTTTCAATAGTGAAGGAGAGCAGTGTAATATGAAGGGGGTACTGGAATAAATCAAAAGGCTGGTCAGTTTATTCAGACTTCATTTAATCTTCATATTAATGTTAGAAAGTATGGTAAATGGGATCTACATTTTACAGATGAGGAAACTGAGCTTCCAAAATGATAAGTAATATTCAGTACACCAAGCAATTATTAAAGGATGTTTTGATTCTAAATTTTTACTATACTAAAGCCATGAAGTACCTTCTGTTTATTCTATTTCTAGAAAACACTTTAATATTTTAAAACTACGAACCAGGGAATATGCCATAATGGTAGATTTCCAAAATACCTTAGGTCTGGCTCTCTTGTTTTTGTTACTGTCAATTTTCCTGCCTTCAATTTATTCTGTTTAAAATCTTATCTATTCATCAGTGCCTAATTTACCAGTGATTAATCCTAATCTGCAGAGATTTCTTTTAATATCTTAAAACATTATCTATCATTCATTTGTTACTTATATTCATATCTGAGATATATTTAGTCATTTTATACTTGAAATTTGGGATAACTCTTGAATCATTTAAATTTCTACTTGTTTATGTGTTACTGAACACATCAGGCTCCTTAAGGGAGCTTCTCTACTGGCATGTAGCATAGCATTATACGTAGAGTACTTAATAGCTTAATAAATAATTGTGTGAATGAATTCTGTCAACTAGACAATTTTAGTTAATCATCAGTCTCTGTTATTCACTTCTCATGGGCACATTTACTCTATACATGATTTTTTAAAAATATTTTACTCATTTTTACAGAGAGGAAGAGAGAGGGATAGAGAGTTAGAAACATTGGTCAGCTCTCTCTCGCGCACCCCCCCCCCCCCCTTACTGGAGATGTGCCTGCAACTAAGGTACATGCCTTTGATCAGAATCGAACCTGGGACCTTTCAGTCCGCAGGCCGACACTCTATCCACTAAGCCAAACCAGTTTCGGTAATACATGATGTTTTAAAGTTTTAAGTTCTATGACTTTACACAGCTGATGCCAATAAGCTTTGTAAACAAATGCTTTTTAAAATGTCAAAAAGAGTTCAGTCAAAATAAAAATAGTTTATTGAAGTTAGCATGTAGACTTATTTTATTTGGCAGAGAAACCAGTTACTTTGCCCCATATCTCAGAAAGAGTTCAGATGTTGGTGCTCTTTTGTTTCTTTTTTTCTCCCACAATAAAAGAAATAAAGCTCTAGCTGGTTTGGCTCAGTGGATGGCACATCAGCCTGCAAACTGAGGAATCCTGGGTTCGATTCCAGTCAAGGGAACATGCTCAGGTTGTAGGCTCTATCGCCAGTGTGGGATGTGTAGGAGGCAACCAATCAAGGATTCTCTTATCATTTATGTTTCTATCTCTCCTCCCTTCCTCTCTGAAATCAATCTATTTATATAAAAGCCTAGTGACTGGAACGGTGGAATGACCAGAATGACTGGAACGACCAGTGGCTATGACATGCATATTGGCCCTACCCCTGGCCAGCCTGGCCCCAGATCAGCCCCCAACACCCTAATTGGGGGTGGGGCTATCTGTCCAATGGCCTACTGCCCCTCCTGCTGGCCTGGCCGAATGGGCCCCCATTGTGACGGGTCAGCCGGATTCCACCTATGCACAAGTTCATGCACTGGGCCTCTAGTAAAAATAAAAAAAATTAAATTAAAAAAATAAAAGACATAAAAACATTTGAGCAATATTTAGGTGATTTGGGTGGTTGTTGCTGTTGCTGCTGCTGCTACTGCTACTACTGCTACTACTTATTAAAAAATCAGCTATTCTGGGCTTTAGTTTTCTTATCCTTAAAAAATCAGTTGGATTATATGATCATTAACGATACAGTGCTTCAGATTTTATAAAACCTAGAAGTTTGAGATAAATTAGGCTTATTTCAGGGATTATAAAGTAGCATTTGATTCTTGCCCTTTAAGATATTAATAGTTTTATGTTAATTGATTTTTTTGAAGTGTTTGTATCTCATGTTCTACTTTTATGGTTAGTTAATTTTATTTTGTAACTTATCAGTACTCCCTCACGTGTTGCTAAAGTTGTCGTCGACCACACCAAAATGAGTCTACATGGTGCTAGTGGAGGACATGAGAGATCAAGAGATAGACGACGGTCAAGTGACAGATCACGAGATTCGTCTCATGAAAGAACAGAGTCTCAGCTCACTCCTTGTATTAGAAATGTTACTTCTCCAACACGACAGCACCATGTTGGTATGTAGATGAATTAACCTTCCTAACAATTTTTAAGCATGTGCTTACCTTTTTAAAGTAGTAAGGATAATGAATTGTGTCTAATACTTCAGAGTAAAATTAACTTGCTGCTTTTATTTTTTTTTTAACTTGTCACTTTTATTTAGTTGCTTCTATTTTAGTTTAGCTTGGTTCTTGCTGTGAAAAAAACAACACAACTTATTAAATGAAAATAAAAATGAATTTTTTAAAGAATCTGGGACACACATAAAAGAAATAACTTGAAAAGCTTTGTAATTGTGATATCTAGATTTCAGATTTTTTAAAGTTGTTTTTTATCTTATGAGATATATAGCAGTAATTTACTTTAAAGTAGTTCATATATTACTGTAATAATAAATTTATAAATATAATAAAATTATCAGTAATTGTCTTTATTGATAGGGATTCTTGGTTATTATCCTGGATAAAAGAAATTGAAAGGTAGAATACTCATCAGAGTATTTTAATTTTTGACAATACATAAAAATAGAAGATGAAAAAGAAACTGAAAAGTTTTGCTTTCTTGGCAGGTAGCTCAGGTCTTTCTCTTCCTATCCATTGCTATAAATCAGGAGTGGGGAACCTTTTGTCTATTTATAACATCATTTGGATATTTACAACATCTTTGCAGGCCATACAAAATTATCAACTTAAAAATTATGTTGCTATGAAAAAAGCCCTTAGATTTATTGAACTTTGAGTCCTGCCTGCCGTTGCTTTGGCAGGGTCAGACCAATGATATGACCCTTGGGCTGGACGTTCCCCATCCCTGCTTATAAATGAACGCTATTACCACAGGTAAATATGTGTGACTGACTGTAAAGCACTAGTCTGAAGCAGAGATATGTAAACTTACTGATTTTCAGTAAGTAATGTGAACTTACTGATTTTCATTTTCCCCTGGGAAGGGACAAATTAAATACCTCAACTTTACTATATGAGGTAGTTTTTGATAGTTATAAAGTAAAATCATTTCTCTTAGGATCGAAGTAGTGTAGAAGTTGTCAATTACTAAATAGGTCCTTAAAGTCAATTTTAAGGCACTTAGTACTGATAAGTACAAAAAAAAAGTAAATAAGAGATTTAGTTTGTTATATGCAAAGTTCAGCATATGGGAAGATAATGAACTGATATTTTATTACGTTAACAAATTCTGCTTTTGGGATGCTACTAGCATCGTGGAAACAGGCAATAGAATGGAGGTGTCAGAGTATCTCTGGAGATACTGCAAATCTAATTATATAATCAGTAAAGCTGTACAGAGTGTTCTAAGTAGCCTGAGTCATAGAGGAATTTGGCAAAAGCTGATGAAACTAAGGGGATGGAAGTACATTTTTAGGTCACCTTTTAAGTGTGATCTAGCCTATAAGGGAAACTTAATTATAAAATCTCAGTTTTAATTTCTTCCTTATAGAATATTGGAACCTATTAAAATTATAAATAGTAATTATTTGATCCTATAAAATTTGTAGCAGTATTTTATTCACCAAACGTGAAAATGAAAATAAAGCAATATATCGTCAGCTATTAAAGACATTTAATTTGGAAGACATTAAAAGTCATTTGAAAAAATACTTTTTGCTATCCTTATTGAAATTTTTTCTTCTCTCAGACCTTCCTTTTGTGAGATAAATAACTGGTTTTGAAATGTCTTTATTAACAGAGCGAGATTCAAAAAGTATGAGTACTTTTAGTATTTGGGAGAGTTTAAAATTGGTATTCTTACTAATCTTTTATTTACTTTCAATGCTTACTTATTTGACTTGTGATTCTGCTCCTTGGGTTTCTATATATTGTTAAGTAGAGTAGTAACATAAAATTTACCTTAGTTTTGATCTTAGTCTGAGACAACATTAATAAGGTATACATCTTTTTAAAATTCTACAAAGATTAATTATTTTAGAAAATATTGTGATATTTTTATTCCTGGGAAGTAAATTAGTATTTATAGTGTTCTGTGGACATGTTATTTCAGATAAAAACGCAGGAATGCTTTGATTTAAAACAACTTTTTAAAATTAATAATTTTAAAAGATATATGGAACTTGAATTTTTTAAAAGAAAATTTTTATAACTTTGGTTAATATCTTTATTTCAGAACGAGAAAAAGATCACAGTTCCTCTCGTCCAGGCAGTCCTCGTCCTCAAAAAACATCTCCAAATGGTTCCTGTAGCAGTGCTGGGAACAGCAGCAGAAATAGTAGTCAATCCAGTTCAGATGGTAGCTGTAAGACATCTGGGGAGATGGTGTTTGTGTATGAAAATGCAAAAGAAGGTGCTCGGAATATAAGAACATCAGAACGAGTGACACTAATTGTGGATAATACTAGATTTGTTGTAGACCCATCCATTTTTACTGCACAGCCAAATACAATGTTGGGCAGGTTTGTATTATTGTAGTTCTTTGTATTATGAATTTTAAAGCACTTATACATTCGATTTTTCCATTTAAGTTTACAATAACTCTCTGTTGGGATGTAGTTTTACAGATGAAGAGCAGAGCTTTTGAAGGTTAAATACCTTGCTCAGTTTAATACAGCTAGAAATGGTAGAGCCATTTTTGTTTTGTTTTGTTTTTTTGTTAATATTCCCCCCACCCTTTTTTAGAGAGGGTAAAAGGGAGGGGGAGAGACAGAGAGAAACATCTATGTGAGAAAGACACATCAGTTGGTTGCCTCTTACAGGCACCCCAACCAAGGCTGGGGATCAAGCTTGCAACCGAGATACGTGCCCTTGACTAGAATCGAACTCAGGACCTTTCATTCTGTAGGCTGATGCTCTATCCACTGAGCCAAACTGGCTATAAGTCTTGTTGAAAGAGAAAAAAACCCAACAGTTTGGTTAGCTGAAAAGTCAGCATTTGTCAGTTTGATATCAATATTTTAAAAAAGGAAGGTTCCTTTTTAAAAAAAAAAAAATTTGATTTCAGAGTGGGAGAGGGAGAGAGAGAGAGAGAGAGAAACATCGATGAGAGAGAATCATTGATTGGCTGCCTCTTGCACACTCCCCACTGAGGATTGAGCCCGCAACCTGGGCATGTGCTGGGAATCTAACAGTGACCTCCTGGTTCATAGGTTGATGGTCAACCACTGAGACATCAGGCTGGGCAAATAAAACCTGTTTACAAAATATAAAATGAAGGCTCATATATATGAAGTAGAGTTTACATGAGTATTTGGGATATGTGCATACTGTGTGTGTGTGTGTGTGTGTGTGTGTGTGTGTGTGTGTGTGTGTGTGTGATTTGTCAGTGTCTCAATATAGAATAAATGCCAGCATATGACACTATACATTTTGAGTAGGTGGTATATATTTACTTTTAACATTTGCTTTGCATCTATGAGTAGAGAAAGATTGGTTGGCTGCCTCCTGCACACCCCCTATTAGAGATTGAGCCCGCAACCTGGGCATGTGTCCTGGAATCGAACCTGGAACCCTTTAGTCCTCACTCTGACACACTATCCACTGAGCCAAACCAGCTAGGGTGGCTTTTATGATTTTTTTTGTAGCATGGGGGAGATTATTTGATGCTATTAGGATGACTTGACACTATTAATACTTTATTTTTTTTAATCAGTTCTTTAAAGAAACACAGTTAAAAAGTAGATCTTTGGCCCAGATCAGTTTGGCTCGGTAGATAGAGCATGGACTGAAAGGTCCCAGGTTCGATTCCGGTCAGGGGCATGTACTTTGGTTGCAGGCACATCTCCAGTAGGGGGTGTGCAGGAGGCAGCTGAATGATGTTTCTCTCTCATTGATGTTTCTAACTTTCTATTCCTCTCCCTTCCTCTCTTTAAAAAATCAATAAAATATCTATTTTTAAAAAGTAGATATTTGATATTTTGCCTCAGTTATTAAGCTATATTTTCCTTAAAAAAAAGATATTTCTGTGTGTATCCATTATTGACCTGAAAAGTATAAATTTCTCCTTTTGTAAAAAGTTCATGTATTAGAGAAAGTTGCATGACATTTGATTCCTGAAAGATTGTTCTTTTTACATCAATGAAATTTCTTTTCATGTGAATTGAGCAAAGCATATCTTTGGGAATGAAAATTAATATTCCTGGGAACTATTAAAAAGCAGTTGCATTCTTTTGGAAATTGAAATAAAAAAGCTTTGTTCTTTATAAGTTTATGTATTACAACAAAAGGGGAAACTATTTACATTGGGAAAGTATTGAGTAGAGTACTTAGATCAGTCATATTTATTTTAGTAATGGTGGTACCAAGTTCTGAGGGTTTACTTTTTTTCCCATGAAGTTAAGTACACTTTAAAGTCTATCATTTATTCAGAGATTATATCCTCCAAATTTTTTCTTGTTAGAATGTCTTGTCTTTTATGAAAAGATAGTAATAGCGGATAGTACATAATGCCCTTATTTATAAAAACAAAACATTGGCAAAACTTTGACAGCCCCCCAAATTTGTTCTGAAATTTTGTTATCTGTTAAATGCTCAAATCTGGAAATCTGTGGACTAGATGTTTTTGGAAGAGCCTTTACTTTCTTTAATCACAATTAAAAAGATTTCTTGGGAATAATGGATTAAAATTATTTTTTCTAAGGTTACATTTTTCAAATTGCCTCTTTTCTGCATGGTTACTGTTAAAGGCCATTAACATGACCTGAAAAAAATAAGTCAATTTGTATTTTTCTTATTTATATTTTAATTTAATAGTAAGCCCTGCCCAGTGGATAGAGCACTGGCCTGTGGACTGAAGGGTCGTAGGTTTGATTTCGGTCAAGAGCTTGTACCTCAGTTGCAGGCTTGATCTCCAGCCCCGCTTGGGGCTCGTGTGGGAGGTGACCAGTCCATGTGTCTCCCTCTCTTTTACTCTCTCTAAAAATCAATGGGAAATATTCTTGGTTGAGGATTAACAACAAAAAAATAACTTTTTACTCATTTGTTTAAATTTTTTATTCTCTTCTTCATTCCTCTCTACGTCAGCATTTGATTACTTATTTTTTAATTCTAGGAAGCAAATGTAAGAATTTTGAGCTAGATTTTTTTTATATTTGCAGTTAAGAATATGAAAAGTAAAACAGCTAACCTGCTTATACTATCTTGCTTTTCCTAGTTTAGATGACTGTTTGTGCTGCATATAGTATTAACTTTGCAAGGAAGATGGCAGTTTTAAGGAAGAGGCATAAACAACATGATTTACCTTTTTCTTTTTCCTTCCTTCCTGATTAATATAAAAGTGACCTTTTCCCTAAATTAATTGATTTTTTTCCCCCCTCTGAGGAGAAGGAACTGGAAATTTCCTTAGGTTTTCAATTTTATCAATTGATATTATTTGCTTATTGGGGAATCTACAGGGATGGGTAAAAATAGATTTACATTTATAATATAAATTAATAAATAATAAAAATAAAGTATCTGTTTTACATATTTACAAATGTAAACCTACTTTTATCCAACCTTGTATACTATTATTCCCTCCCATCATAAAGAAAATATTTTAAATATTACTTTGTTAAGTACGTTTGTCAGGATAAATTTCTGATAAAAATTCTTAAAGTAATTTAATGATATAATTTAATACTTAAATTACAATTCCTTTTTAGTTTTGTGCATGGAATCAATTTTCCTTTTTGAAGAAAGTGTCTTAATATATTTCTTAATTACTTCCTATTATAGGATGTTCGGATCTGGCAGAGAACATAATTTTACACGTCCCAATGAGAAGGGAGAATATGAGGTGGCAGAAGGAATTGGCTCCACTGTATTTCGAGCTATTCTGGTAAATTTTTGTTACTTATGTGTTTTGACTTAAACATATTCATATCACTCTTTCTTGGTAAGTACTTGAATTGAAATCAGAGTTTGATTTGGACATCTTTATGGAGGTATGTAGGATATTGTTTTGTGGTTTTTTTATTATAAAAATAACATTTAATTCATCTTTATTTTAGCAGTTCATTGCCTTAACCACTCGGCCAACTTGTCCATGGTTTATCTTTATTTTAGTACATAAAAATAACATTTAAATAAATGAATTTTAAGACTTTTGGCAAGATAAAATAGTGGATGATTCATCTCTTAGGTCTGCATAGGCACTTCTTTCAAAAGGGTTTAATGTTAACATATATGGAGTCATGTTATTCTTCTCTCCTTAATTCTCTTAAATTAGTCAAGCATTTTTTGCTACTTGAAGATGAATGTGGCTACTTGAATTCTAATATTTTATTGCCATAAGCAATATGGATATTTATAAACATTTAAAATTAATCTCTAAAATGAATTTGTTAGCCTCTTTGTTTTAAACCTTTATTTTTGAGGTTTTAACCTTTTATTTTTGAGGTATATTTGTAATTTCCCTATTTGTAATTTCAAATCAGTGATAAAAATTTGATTATAGTGTGTGACAGTTTATGCCACAGTCTGAAAATACCATTTCCTCAAATAGTTTTTGGGATAAAGAGGAGAGAGGATCTTGAGGTACAAGACAGGAAAAGTATAGTTGACCCTGGAATAATACAGGTTTGGTTCCACTTATAGGCAGATGTTTTTCAATAAATAACTAAAAGCATTTTCTCATAATTTTGTTAAGTTTCTTTAGCTTACATTATTATAAGACTAAAGTATATAATAAACCATACAAAATATGAGTCAATTGACTCTTTGTTATTAGTAAGGCTTCCAGTCAGTAGTAGGCTATTGTTAATTAAGTTTTGGAGAAGTCAAAAGTTATACATGAATTTTAAAATGCACAATGGGTTGGTATCCCTACGTCCAGTGTTGTTCAGGGTCAACTGTAATTGATCTTGATTAAATTGTTAGTACTTGGAGAAACAGTTGTGAATACCAGAAAGTATCTTGTTTCTATTGATACAGCAGTTTTGTGTTACTGTGGCTCTGAACTGCAAGAACCTTGAGGCAGATCTTAATTGGGGGGGGGGGGGGGGTGGAGGGAGAAATGCTTTTTCAGTTGCCAATACTTCCATTTGACCCCTAATGGAGTTGACAAGTAAGGAATATTTTCATAATTTAGCTATGGAGTAACGTTATTTGTAATGCTGGGGCAACCAATAAATGTGTTTCTCTTTGTCTTTTCCTCTTCTTTACTCTTTCTAAAAATCAATAGAAAAATATCCTCAGGTGAGGATTAATTAACTAAATATTCTTAAAATACAACTTAAAAATATGTCATAGTTATATAGAAAAATAACTCATAGGGGGAAAATACATATGATTTAGCATGGTATAGTAGAGAGATATGTAAATAATGGGAAGATTTAGATTTTTATCTTATCAGCTATTAAATAATTTTATGACTGGGTGAGTCAGTGAAGCTACTGGGCCTTAAGTTTTGGCTACCTCATGCTCCAGATGTTTTATTCATTCTTGCCTTTTTTTTTTCCCCCCTAGGATTACTATAAAACAGGAGTAATCCGTTGTCCTGATGGCATATCTATTCCTGAACTGAGAGAAGCATGTGACTATCTTTGTATCTCTTTTGAATATAGTACTATTAAATGTAGAGATCTCAGTAAGTATGCTCTTTTGTTTATGGAGTTATAATATATTGGAATGAAAAGGCTGAAATAATGCTATTTACTTAGACTTCAAATATTTGATGATTATTTATGGAAATCTACAGGTGTTTATAAGCTCCATGTGCAATTTTCCAAAACTTTATTCAACTTATAATAGTTTATTTTTTTGATAGACTCTTCCGGATTTCCTCATTGACTGTTTTCCTCTATAATTTGTTGCTAGTCTTTTTTTTTTTTTTTTTTTTTTTATATATTTTATTGATTTTTACAGAGAGGAAGAGAGAGGGATAGAGAGTTAGAAACATCGAGAGTTATCGATCAGCTGCCTCTTGCACACTCCCCACTGGGGATGTGCCCCCAACCAAGGTACATGCCCTTGACCGGAATCGAACCTGGGACCTTTCAGTCCACAGGCCGACGCTCTAACCACTGAGCCAAATCGGTTTTGGCTGTTGCTAGTCTTTTATATACCAGCTTGGGACCCCTGGCTTTGGTCAAGTGTGTGTGGCTTAATTCCTCAGATCACAAAAACCAATATTTTAGAATTTTTTTTTTGTACATAGCCTGTACAAATAATATTCTAAGCCACTAATTCTCAAAACCAATATTTGTCACTAAAGATCTTAGATTGAATACTTAATCCTCATTTATACAAAGGGTTAAGGGACTTTGTTTAAGAACTTCAAACATAGTCTCAGAGACTTTGTAATCTTATTTCTTTGATATTCTCTTTCACAACTTTCTCAGCCCCCATCATTTCAACGTTAGGCCATGCCTAAGAAGTAAAGGTGATTGATTATATACAAAAAAGTAAAAATAGTATATGAGAATTATCTAATGTTGACTTGATATTAAGTGGTTGGAGAAGTTCAGAGGAAGGAGTGGTTATTGTGGGCTAGAGGTTTTAGGGATGAGTCTAGAGGATACAGGTAGTAAAGAATGAATAGGAATGATTTAGAAAGAGTAGAGTAGGGAGGTCATTCCGAGAGCTGGGATTTTTGGAATAAAGATGCAAAATATGTACTTTGGAAATACCCTAGTTGGAGCAGACTTTATGTCAGGACCAGAAGGAGACAGGAATAAATAGGTGGGCCAGATTATGAGAGGTCTTTAATCCAAACTAATGTTCTTACATTTTATTTTATACTAGAGGCCTGGTGCATGAAATTAGTTCATGGGGTGGGGGTAGGGAGTCCCCTCAACCCAGCCTGCGTCCTCTCCAATCTGGATCTCTCTCACAATCTGGGACTTTGGGCTCCTAACTGCTCACCTGCCTGCCTGCCTGATCACCTCTAACTGCCCCCCACCAACCTGACCACTCCTAACAGCCTCTGCTTGCCAGCCTGATTGTCCCTAACTGTTCCTCCCTCCCTTCCCCCCCATGCCGGCCTGGTCTTTTACGATACAACTGCCCTTCTACCTGCTGGCCTGGTTACCCCCAACTGCCTCCCCCCAACCCCTGCTGGTCTGGTCATCCCCAGCTGCCGGCCCCTCTCCCCCCAGTCTGGTTGCCCCCAATTGCTCCCCCTGCTGGTCTGGTCGCCTCACACAGCCTGCTTCCCCTGATGGTTTGGTCGTCCCTCACTAACCCCCCTGCCAGCCTGGTCGCCCCATGCAGCCTATGTTTGGTTGTCTGTCCAGTTGTTTTGGTCATGACGGCCCCTGGCTTTTTATATATATTGGGTTGTAATGGAAAGCCATTTTTTAAGTTTCTATATGTGGTTATAGCCTTATGTTAGCCCAGATATAATGGTTATCTTTTTAACCTAAATTTAACCTTAGCTTGGCAGAGTGGTATTATACCTTTTCAGAGATTGGTGTGTTGGAAACTGAATGGTAAATTAAAAAAAAATATATATATTTTATTGATTTTTCACAAGAGGAAGAGAGAGGGATAGAGAGTTAGAAACATTGATGAGAGAGAATCATCAATCAGCTGCCTCTTGCACACCCCCTACTGGGGATGCGTCCGCAACCAAAGTACATGCCCTTGACCGGAATCGAACCTGGGACCTTTCAGTCCGCAGACCGATGCTCTATCCACTGAGCCAAACCGGTCCCGGCTGAATGGTAAATTTTATTTGAAAATTTTAAGGCACCTCCTGTATACTTAAATATAACTAGCCTTCTTCATGCTTAGTTATGAACTAACTCTGAAAATGAGTGGTCTTAATAAGTCTATCCCTAAGTATCATTTTATTTTTGCCAAACATTCCTTAAAGTGTCTATAAAAATATTAGTAGATGTGACAAAACAGTGGATGGTCCAACTCAGTCCATTTCTCTGTAAATAATATTTAAAATTTCAAAGTCAAATTGTTGGACACCTGGAACATACAACTGTAAATTTGAATAAAGCTCCTGTTTTTTCACATTTAAAAAGGTTTTCCAGCCAAGACCGGTTTGGCTCAATGGATGGAGCGTTGGCTTGGGGACTGAAGGGTCCCAGGTTCAGTTCCAGTCAAGGGCATGTGCCTTGGTTGCGGGCATATCCCCAGTGGGGGGCGTGCAGGAGGCAGCTGATCGATGACTTTTTTTTTTTTTTTTTTTTTTTTTTTTTAAATATATTTTATTGATTTTGTACAGAGAGGAAGGGAGAGAGATAGAGAGATAGAAACATCGATGAGAGAGAGTCATCAATCAGCTGCCTCTTGCACACCCCCTACTGGGGATATGCCCGCAACCAAGGTACATGCCCTTGACCGGAATCGAACCCGGGACCCTTCAGTCCCCAAGCCGACGCTCTATCCATTGAGCCAAACCGGTCCCGGCTGATCGATGACTTTCTCTCATCGATGTTTCTGACTCTCTATCTCTCTCCCTTCCTCTCTGTACAAAATCAATAAAATATATTAAAAAAAAAAAGGTTTTCCAGTTGAAACCATGAAAATTCATTATTCTAATTATAGATCTTAGACATTTAAGTTTAGTGTTTAAGGATTTCATGGGACAATTGTAACTTAATTTCATATAATTAGATGTTGAATTTTGGTGACTGTTGAATAAAAAATCCCACTAGAATTTCTTACCATAGATCTTACCAACCTCAGCATATGATTTTTTTTCTCTTAAGAACTTTCACTTTTTCACTTAAAGGAAACACTTCATGACTTTTCTTTGGCATATCTGAATTGCCAGCATCACTATTCTTGTGCTTTGGGGACATTTTTAAGTAAAATAAGGGTGACTTGCACACAAGCACTGTGATACTTTGACAGTGGACTTGATAACCTAGACAGCAACTAGTGACTAACAGGCAGGTAGTGTGTGAAGCATGGATATTCTGTACAAAAGGAGGATTCATGTTCTGGATCGCACAGAGCTGGACAGTGCGAGATTTCATCATGCTGCTCTGATCAGCATGCAATTTAAAAATGTATGAATTGTTTCTTTCTTTTTTTTAAAGAGTTATTTGAACCAAACTAACATCATATGCCAGGAAGCAATATTTCAAATGCTCTTGGTATTTTATATTTAATATTTTTGAACCATGGTTGACTATGGGTAATTGAAATTGCAGAAAGTGAAACCATAGATAAGGGGGTGCTTTTCTATAGAAGGCAAAAGCAAATGTTGGGGAGTTTGATTAGAAGGTTTTATTGTAGTTTGTGAAAATTGATGACCTGCTCTGTGATGGGGGCAGATGTGTTCTCTTTATTGCTACTTAACAAACCATTCCAAACTCAGTAGCATTAAGTATTATCATTTTTTGTTCTGTGGGTCAAGAATTCAGACGGTACAAAAGAGGTGGTTTGTCTGCTTTACAATGTCTGAGGTCTTATTCTTGTGAAAAATTGAAGGGTTGAGGAAGCTTAGATGTTAGGTTCAGCGAGGACTGTCAAACACAGTTCCTGTATGTGGCCTCTTCATGTGTCTGGGGCTTCTCCAAGCCTGGAGACTGGGTACAGAGAGAAATCATTTGGAGAGTGAGAAATCCTAGACCACGGCCAAACTGCAAGTCATACACCAACCAGCATCTCTGCCATGCTCTGCTGGTTACAAGCAAGTCAGTGTGACCAGCCTAGAAAAGGGAAGAGAATTAGACTACACCTCCTGCAAGGAGCTGTGAAGGTCACATTGCAGAAAAGCATGTGGCATACGAGAGTTTGGCAGCAAAATATCATCTTCCAGAGAAGGAAATGACATAATTCAAGATATATTTAAGAGATGAACTTAATAGCACTTGGAGAATGATTGAATTAAGAGATGAAAGAGGAATCAAGGATTCATTCACTTATTCCACAACTATTTAAGTGCCTGCGCCTATCAATGCCTGGCACTCTTCTGAGATGATTCTGAGAACTTGAGTGGATGGTGATGCTATTTACTGATTTTGAAAACACTGCAGAGAGATATAAAGAGAATTCAATTCAATTATGGATATATTGAGTGAGTTTGAAGTAGGTGCCTGTGAGGTGGCATCCAAGTGGAGGTTTCCAGAAGGCAGTTGAATATAATGCATCTAGACTACAGAAGGCAGAATATTCATAGAATAAACTTGGTAATTGTCAGCATAAAGTGAGAGCAGAAAAATAATTAAGATTGTGCACACCTTAGGGGAGAAAGAGTTGGCAGAAGTGACTAGAGAAAAAGAGCCAAAGAGGAGAAAGAAAACTGGTAGCGGAGCATTTTAAGGACGAGGGGGAGAGATTCAGTCGAGAAATCAAATAAGATTGGAATCAAAAGAGTTAATTGTCTTTAACCATCTAAAAGTCATTTGAAGACTACAGTGAGAGCAGTGTTGAGGAGTGTGCAGGCCAGATTGGAATTGTTTCAGAAATTAGGTCAAAGAGAAAGTGTTCATACATCTAGGAGTTTGGCTATAAATGGAATTTTTTTCCCCGTCTTACTATTTTTATTTTTAAAGCAAGTTATTAATCATAAATGAAGACATACAAATGTGTTTTCTACATAATAGATTTGGTTTGGAAAGCAGTTAGCAACATATTGCAAAGTAGTTTTAATTTTGTAATAATATGTCTCACTATTAATAATATGGGCATTGCATTCCATTTCTTTATACTTTTAAATTAATTTGTAATTCAAGTGTAAACATTTAGCATTATCTGCTGGAATCCATATTATAAGCAATTGACATCACACAAATGGATTGTATTTCAAATAATCCATTTCTGGTCATTAAAGCTAACCTTTGCACAGCACTTTAGAAAGTAGTAGCACACACTGTACTTCCATAAGACCTCTCAGGGATGAATATCGTCATATCGTCATGTAAAAGGGCTGTACTAAGTCTCACATTATTTCCACTCAGGGTACTTCTATAAAGAATCTATATCATAAGTTGTGATTGAAAATCCACAATTATATTTAGAATCCCAGATTTTTGACAAATTACATGAAAAGCAGGTGGTTAAAGATATCTAACAGTTTAGCTACACTATTATTGACACTTCATGGCAGTGATTAGTGAAACATGCCATCATATCCCCAAATAATCAAGGTGGATAGTTTAAATCATAATTCTGATCATTAGCAGTATGGGTAAGTCAGCTACCATCATGGATAGTTTGCCAGCTTTATTCATCTTGTATTTCTGGAAGAGGCTGAATTCCCCTCCTTCATGGCCACATCTTATCTTTCTCAGTTCCATCTCTTACCTGGCTCTGATAAAGCAGTTTCTGTCCCTTTTCTTCCCAGATCTAGAGTTAGTAATGGCTTCCTACTTTTACTAGTACCGGGTGCTTCAACATTCACTGCTACTTCCCTTAACATGTGCACAACTCTGAATAGTCATTTGATTAATTTATCTTTTAAGTCATAGCTGAGTCTTAGGTTTTTTACTGGTACTTCGACAAATGGTATTCCAGTCCATATAGTTAAGCTTCTTTTATGCCCATGGTAAAATTACTTAAACAAAAGATTGCATACTTTATCTTAGATTAAATTTTATGTATTTTACTAGAGGCCTGGTGCACAAGATTTATGCAATAGGAGTGGTGGGGGAGTGTCCCTCTGCCTGGCCTGTGCCCTCGTGCAGTTTGGGACCCCTTGCTCCTTACTGCCCGCCTGCAGCAGAGGCAGGAGAGATTCCTGCCACCACAGCTGCGCTTGCCAGTCATCAACCTGGCTTCTGGCTGAGTGGCGCTCCCCCTGTGGGAGTGTACGGACCACAGAGGGCAGCTCCTGCGTTGAACATCTGCCCCCTGGTAGTCAGTGCGCATCATAGTGACCGGTCATTCCACCTTTCAATTTAAATATTAGGCTTTTATTATTAGGTTAAAATATGATGGGGGTGGGGGAGGAATCACCAATATTTATAAAAGTTGTGATTGAAAATCCACAATTATAAATATTAGAGGCCCAGTGCACAAAATTTGTGCACATGGCGGGGAGAGGTGCCCATCAGCTCAGCCTGCATGCACCCTCTCCAATCTGGGACCCCTCAAGGGATGTTCAACTGCCTGTTTAGATCCTGGGATCAGGTCTAAACAGCCAATTGGACATCTCTCTCCTAATCCAGGATTTCTGGCTCCCAACTGCTCGCCTGCCTGCCTTCCTGATCACCTCCTAACCACTCCCATGCCAGCCTGATTGATGTCTAACTGCTCCCCTGCCAGCCTGTTTGCCCCCAACTTCCCTCCTCTGCCAGCCTGGTCACCTCTAACTGCCCTCCCGTGTAGGGTTGATTGCTTCCAACTGCCCTCCCTTGTAGGCCTGGTCCCTCCCAACTGCCCTCCTCTGCTGGCCATCTTGTGGCAGTCATCTCGTGTCCACATGGGGTCAGCTATTATGTGTTGGAGTGATGGTCAATCTGCATATTACTCTCATTAGATAGGATAGAGGCCTGGTTCATGGTTGGGGGGGCCAGCTGGTTTGGGTGTCCCAGATCAGAGTGGGGGTTCCCTTGGGATGTGGGGCGGCCTGGGTGGTGGTTTGCAGGCCAGCCACACCCCCTGGCGACCCAAGCAGAGGCCCGGGTCTCTGGAATTTATCTCCTACAATTGAAACTTTGTAGCCTGGAGCGGAGCCAAGCCCCCTGCTCTCTCTGGCTGCCCTCATTTCTGTTTGGTTTTCTGTATCTTCTATAATTGAAACTTTGTAACCTTGAGTGGAGGCTTAGGCTGGCCAGGGCAGGTGGAAAGCTTGGCTTCCTCTGTTGCCTTGGGAAACCTTAGCCTGTTCTCTCTAGCTCCATGGCTGCTGCCATTTTTCTTGGGATTTATCTTCTATAATTGAAACTTTGTAGCCTTGAGTGGAAGCTTAGGCTGGCCAGGGTGTGTGGAAAGCTTGGCTTCCTCTATTGCCGGGGAAACCCAAGCTTCTCAACTGCCCTCTGTGGTTGCAGCCATCTTGGTTGGGGTTAATTTGCACACTTGCTCTAATTGGCTGGTGGGCGTGGCTTGAATGGAGTGATAGTTAATTTACATGTTACTCTTTTAAAAGGTAGGATTTAGTGGTAGTAATCAAACCCAGGACCCTTCAGTTTGCAGGCCGAAACTCTATCCACTGAGCCAAACCTGACAGGGCAAGAGCTAATTTTTAATTTCCAAGGACTCTTAAATTTGTGTAACCTTGAACATCTGCTTCCAAGATCTTTTTATCTAGATGGACCATATTAGTTTAAATGGAATTTTTTTAAAAATGGGAAGCAGCTAGCCTGGAGAGAGACATGGTTAAAATAATGGTATAGATGGTTAATTAATCAATCATTTATTATATTATAATTATGTATTACTAATAGTTATATAATTAGATAGCATGTTGTAGAAGGGATACATCCCTTTGGGAGATACAGATTTGAGTTCTAGTGCCCTTCTCTAACCTCCCAGTAGTTCCTGAGATGGTAGAGCCTTAGGTAACATATAGGACATTGCCATTAAAATAGGAATAAAAGAAGAAACTTTAGGTCAGTTTAGGTGAGTTTGTGTGGGTGTGTAAGTTGAAATTTTTCATTATGTCTGTACTTAACGAGTATGAAATGTATCTTTCACTTTTCTCAAGGGATAGAGCTGTATTTTGCTTGGCCTTTGCCTTCCTTATCACAAGCCAGGTGACCTTTCTCATCTAACCCCTCTTCCTACACTGAAATATTAATGCAGTTTATGAATAATTTTCTGAGAAAGAAAACATGTGGGAGGTATAATAGGGGAGCTATTTAGTTTATATTGATAATCTGAAAATTATCCTTACTATCTTTTAAGATATCCTATCTAATAAAGAGGGAAATGCTAATTGACTGCCATGTCCTCAAAGATGGGGCGCCCACAGCACAAGATGGTGGCGCCCAGTCCCCTCAGCCCCCGAGCCTCCCAGGGCCGGCCTGAGGTGTAGGCAAGCCTGGGATGGCGGCTGCCCAGCCGCCCAGAGCTGCCCCAGGCTCAGGTAACCAGGGCTGGTTGAGGCTTGCACTGTTGGCAGTGATAACGGCAGAGGTGTGATGGGGCATCACCTTCCCCTGATCACTGGGTCGCCTCCCGCCCGAGGGCTCCTGGACTGTGAGAGGCCGGACTGAGGGACCTCCACTCCCATGCATGAATTTTCATGTACCGGGCCTTAGTTGCATATACTGATGGAAGTCAACATGATGTAGTGGGAAAAAAATGCCTGGGGGTGGGGGCAGATTTAATTCTAACTATGTGTAGTTTTGTAACCATAGATTATTTCATGAGGTGTGAAATGAAGGGGCATGTGGTTGCATGTCTTTATTGGCCTTTTTTTGCTGTGTAATTCTACAGTTCCATAGAAACTCTTCCTAGGAAAAGCTTTGTTTAATAAAGAATAACCACAATATTGTCTATGGGATCTAAAAATAGATGCTGAACTAATCTGTTATGTATGTTGCTTCTCTTCTTTTACTATCACTCACCCAAAAAAATCAAGAAGTTTTTTGTGGGTTTCATTTCAGGTGCCCTAATGCATGAGTTATCAAATGATGGTGCTCGTAGACAGTTTGAATTCTATCTAGAAGAAATGATCCTGCCTCTCATGGTGGCTAGTGCCCAGAGTGGGGAACGAGAATGCCACATAGTGGTGCTTACAGACGATGATGTGGTTGATTGGGATGAAGAGTATCCACCCCAGATGGGAGAAGAATATTCACAAAGTAAGTATTGTGACATGTTTCCTCTCTCTTGAATCATTATAAAATATCTTTTTATAATGTTGATTAAAGGACAGTTTTTATAAAGAAAGTACATTGATCTCTTAACTATACCAGGACTCTGCAGATTGGCCTGTGGGCCAAGTTCAGCTTATTGCCTGTTTTTATAAAGTTTTCTGTATTGTCTATGGCTGCTTTTGTGCTACAGTGGCAGAGTTGAGTAGTTGCAATGGAGACCGCATGGCTCGCAAAGCCCAAAATACTTACTATCTGGCCCTTTACTGAAAAAGTGTGCCCACTCCTGACATACCCAGAGATGGTCTACTCTTCGTTGAATATCTGGATGTTGATGGATTTTCTTTCTTTGAATTTGGAAGCATCATAGAGAAATAGATCCTGGGGTAGTAGGTCATAAAAAAATAAGTCTTTTTTTAATTTTTATTTATTTATAAATATATTTTAATTGATTTTTGAAGAGGGAGAGAGAAACATCAACGATGAGAATCATTGATCGGCTGCTTCCTGGATGTCCCCTACTGGGGGTTAAGCCTGCAACCTGGGCATGTGCCCATGACCTGAATTGAGCCTGGGACCCTTCATTCTGCAGGCTGATGCTCTGTCCACTGAGCCAAACTGGCTAAGGCTAAGCTGTTTTTTAAAGGTGAATTTTTATTTGTATATAAAATGAGCTTCAACACATTGATTTCAAGAATGATTTTCATTTCTAAGATGTTCCTTTTTAAAAATTTGCTTTTGGAGGATACAGTGATCCTTCAAAAAGCTTGGTGGAACTATAATTAGGTATTTCTGATTTCTTACTGCACTTTCAAATGTTTTCCATTAGAGCCTTTTGATTTTTCTGTTAGAAAATTTATATTCATCTTCAAGTCAGTAAAAACAAACAAACAAAAAAAAATTTTGAGGAACTAGGTAAAATAACCCACCACCTGTAAGTCTGTATAGGAATATAGAAAATGCCAAAACCCTTAAATGATTTTTTCCCCCATTTTACTTATTATCCTTTCTAAAAACAAAACAAAGTAGACTCCAAGTGGTATTCTTTTTGACTTCTAAAGATTTTCAAAGATTGTTTTTTCACAAATATTGGTAGCACTTTTCAGAGTTTATTTTGAGACATTTTCATTGCATGATGTACTTAGATAAGTGATTTTTAAAAAAATATATATTTTATTGATTTTTCACAGAGAGGAAGGGAAAGGGATAGAGAGTTAGAAACATCGATGAGAGAGAGTAATCAATCAGCTGCCTCTTGCACACTCCCTACTGGAGATGTGCCCGCAACCAAGGTACATGCCCTTGACTGGAATCGAACCTGGGACCTTTCAGTCCACAGGCCGACTCTCTATCCATTGAGCCAAACTGGTCCCAGCTAGATTCTTATGTGGATAGTTGTAGTAATAGACTTTTCTGTTATTTTCTCATTCCTACGTCCTTTGCTAACCCTGGATTTCTATATAATATGTGGAATAAAAAGTTGAACGAAACACAGGAAAAATTAAAAGTTCCCAAAAATTAAGAGAGATAACTAAATGAACTTATAATTTGTATTATTTTTTAAAAAGTTTGAAAGAGCAGAGCCAACATAGAACATAGAAATGACATTCTGGTGATAAGAGGTTATAATATACCTGGCTTTTCCTTAATTGTGAGCTTTCCATTTCAATGTTTTTTTTGTTTTGTTTTGTTTTCTTGTTATCTTAAGTTTTGAAGCTTAAAAGGACGGAAAACATTTTTACTTAATTTGTCTAAATGGTTCATTTTGTACCAAGATATTCCAAACTAAAAGAATATTCATTTGAAGAGACAAAAATAGCCTCTTCACGCTTGATTTTCCTGAATGGGACATTATGACACCATTTTGAGATGTCAAAAATATGTATCTTAAAATATCAATAATCTTAAGAGCATAATAACAATATACTCCATGAGTAGCATCTGTATACGTATTTTTCTTTTATTGACTCTTAAACCAGCATGTTTGGTTTGTGAGTGTTCTTTTCTTTTTTTTTTTGTTGAAAAAAACCTTTGCAGTTCACCTTTTAAGGGAGATAACTCCACCTGAAAGAGAGAAGGCGAGGAAGGCCCATCAGTCTAACTCTCTGAAGTTCCCAGCACATTTGGAAGACTCAACATGTTGTCAGTGGAATGTCTGTCCTTTGCAAAGCCAGTTTGCTCTAAATAGACTAACCTAGGCAGAACATGCTCGAATCTGCCATTTTTAACATCATTTTTAAATGGGGCTGTTCGCTTGAATGGAAAACATTTGTGGGGAGGGTCTTTGCCCTTTGGGGGAGTTAATAGTTGCTCAATCCATGAAATGTAAGATGTATCCATTTGGTACTTCCTAACAAGGCATTTGTTTCCTTCTCAGACAAGGCCTTGTAGGCATCATAGCAAGTCTTAACTTTGCCTGCTGGAAAATGTGATCTTGATATCTTCTTTTGGTCCTCTGATTTGAAGAAATTTGGGCAGATCCTCTTCCAATAAGTTTACATATGATATATCTTTCAGAAGAAGCTTCTTCCTATGGATTGGGTCACCTGATTGATTTTTAAAGCTTTTCTTGTTTCAACTTCAGTGTTGCTTTTACATTAACGGTACTGAATTGTCCTGTCATGTTGGCTAGTCGTCCTTTGGCATCACTGCATCCACTATGTGGGCTTTCAGGGTTGTGAGCCCCATTTGATTATCAGAATAAGTTTCTTATATTCAAGTACTTTGATTTTAACAAGAAAATATATATTTTTCTGTTTTCAGTTATTTATAGCACAAAATTATACAGATTTTTCAAGTACATTGAAAACAGAGATGTGGCCAAATCAGTTTTGAAGGAGAGGGGTCTTAAGAAGATTCGATTGGGAATAGAAGGTAATACATCTTCATTATATTTTGTTAATTTGTTTTGGGGAAAAAAAAGTTGAAAACTGGATTTCATTTAGAATATAGTTTGAATACTTTGAGGAAAACTCAGATAAATGATCATGTAGTAGATCTATGTTTATAATAAGCTTCCTTTCTGAGGAAATAAGCCAATAGAAATTTTTACTCCACAGTATTCCCTAGCAATAGGAGAAATATGAATTATTTTTTCTGTTACAGTTTGCCCTAGTGATTTTTTTTTCCCTTACTGAGCCCGTATGATTTTAGATTGCTTTTTACTTTGTCTTAAATGAATTTTTCCAGATGCTGTGTCAGATGCCTCTTTTATTTTAAAGTCCTTGTAAGAGTAAAACATCTTTCTTGGCATAATGTGGCATAGTGTAACGAATAAAGCTTCTGGAGTTAGATTGCTTGTGTTCAAATCCTATGACTTAATAATTGTATTATGTTGGCCAACACACTTCTCTGTGCCTCAGTTTCCTCAACTAAATACTTTATAGGGTTATTGTGATGATAGAGTGAGTTGATACATGAAAAACGCGTAGTCATTTCTCAGAATATGTTTGTGGTGGTGATAGTGAAGATAATGGTGTTGATCATTGACCCAGTCAAGTTGTTAGAGATCACAATACAGCAGATCCTTGAACAATTTTGTTTTGTCATTTCATCACAACATTGGTGAGATACTGTAGGAATTTGACTTACTTATATCTATTAGCCTATAGCAAAATTGGTTTCATTTTATCATTTGCTTAAAGTCACAAAATATTGACAACGTCAAGTAAAGGCTTACTGTAATGGACTCCTGAGACATGGGGAAGATTGCAGAAACGGTCTTTGCAGGAAGAAGAAACTTTGAGCTTAAAGTAGTGAAATTGCTGCCAGTTTGTGTCTTCTGTCATTTGCAAACATTGAAATTTAACTGCTTGATCTCAGAACTAGAGAGAAAACAACTGGGAGCTACTTTAGATTGGGAAGGCAAGGATGACTTCTGTAATGAGGTGCATTTTAGTTGAAGCCTGATGACAAGTAGGTTGGAACCAGATTATAAAAAGCTTTATATACTATGCTACAGAGTATGGACCTTCCCCTTTAGGGTTGAGAAAACTATTGGTAGTTTTTTAGCAGGATATGATTATACTTTTGTTAGAGTTGTGACTTTGTGTAGAGAATAAGATGAGATGGGAATTTTAGAGACTTACTAATAGCCCCAGAGGAATCCAGGATGAGGGAATACAGATGGAGATCTTTCTGATCTCTCGTGCTGTGCTTCAGATGGTAGTTGGCTGAAGTGTGAAACATAGAGGACATTCTGCAGAAGGTCATTAGTCCTGCTTGCCCTATGTCCCCCTTAATGCATACACACCTTAATGCATACACACATTCACTCCACACAAAGCTAAATATATACATTACCTACCACTACTGCCTATATAGATCCCCTTATGCAGGAAGCATTAATTGAGTTCCCATTATGTAAGGCCTATTTTTTTCTAACTATGGCCCATGGGCCAAATCCAGTCCATTTGTTCATTCATGTATTTGTAGCTGATTTCACTTTACAGTATAACATAGCTGAGATAGCACCTGAATGAATGACCCACAAGCCTCAAAAATATATATTTTTGGTCTTTTACAGAAAATGTTTGCCAGTCCCTGGTCTAAACTAGCAATTCTTGCTAATAGGAAGGGACTCTTAATATTTCTAAGGATATTATATCTTTGGAGAATTGACTTACCTGATAAATAACCAAAAGTTTTCCAAATCTTGTTAGTTCTTTTCAGTGATTATGATCCAAGAGGAGGAATATACAATTAGTTAGGAAAAACTGCTTTGGAATTGCCAATCTAGATGAACTGGTTGGTTGTTGGGAGTAGTAGCATTAAAATATATGAGATTAAAATATTGGCTTTGCTTACCTATATGCAAAAGTATTTAGAACCAGTGAAGCTGGAGAGCTCTACAGTCTTTTTCATTTAACCAGAAAAAGGAAGAAAAAAACCAGAGCAAGATGAAAATGTGATTTAGTTTTAAGGAAAGTAGAAGGCAAATGTGGCAGTAAACTTCAGATAATTCTGTGAATTTCATAATTTTAGATTCTGACTGTTGAACTGATGACTAAAAGGAGTGGAATGTTGGCCTTTCTTTGTTTTATATCTGTTTGTTCAGGAGCTATACCAGAAAAGCCCTCTTTAGACTAAATAGGATGAGAGCTGTGGACTCCATGTATGTGCGAGTATGTATCTTCCGTTTTTAAAGCCCCTCTCTCCTCCAGGTTATCCTACCTATAAAGAAAAAATAAAGAAAAGGCCTGGGGGCCGCCCAGAAGTGATTTACAACTATGTCCAAAGACCCTTTATCCGAATGTCCTGGGAGAAGGAAGAAGGAAAGAGTCGGCATGTAGACTTCCAATGTGTAAAGAGTAAGTCTATCACCAACCTTGCAGCAGCTGCTGCAGATATTCCCCAGGATCAGCTGGTAGTCATGCATCCAACTCCGCAAGTGGATGAGCTGGACATTCTCCCCATCCATCCCCCTTCCGGCAACAATGACCTTGATCCTGACGCACAGAATCCAATGCCGTGATGCTGATGTTCTTGAAACCATAGCATGCTACTCTTCACGGTGACGTTGCACTCTCCTCATTCTGCACTGCAAGGCCACTCTCTTCATCATGAGATGCACATGTTTAGGATACTGCAGTGTAGGCTTTTTTAAAGACCAAAGGTAGCTGAATGGTTTTTTAAATGCATACAACTCTAGCATCCTGAGGTTCCAGTTATATAAATGTATTTGTTTACCAGTAAGTTTGTGAAATTGGTTCTTTGTATGGGGGACAGTCCTTTTTCACACATTTAGATCTTTTCAGAAGTGGTGATGGAAATTGGCAGCTGGGGTATTTTCAGTCTAGATTGATATGTCATACCCCAGATAAAATGCAGAATATTACATAGTTGCACTTTATAAATGGTGGTTAAATGGAACTGTTGAAGCCATTTTTATAGTTGTGATGCACAATGTGCTTCTATCAAAGTATTCCTTTAGTAAAATGTGTATCGTTTACTGCCCATGTTGAGCAAAAAAAATATTGGGCTTATTTGAATGATTAGAATGAGATTCAGTGCCCATATGTTAAGAGTTATCTCCAATGCCGGTTTCACCCTTTTAGAGTGAGTCACACGCAGGAAGTGTGAATATCAGGGGTGGTTTATTATCCAGTCTGCCTTACCCTTAATCTGTTCAAATATTTATTTACTAATTTTTTTCATAAGAGTTATGGGATATAGGAAAATGAAGTGTTTGCTCTTCATTTACTAAATGATTGTAAACTCGAGTTTTTCATCAAAATAAAATTCCATTGTTTTAATGTTTCTGATCAACTTTATAACCTTGACCATTTTTAGTCTCATAATTAGCAGTCTTCGTGTCTTCAAAACAGCTCATGGAACTCAAATTTGGTATGTGCGTGATGAGGCACTTAAGATTCCCTACTAATCATAAAATACTATAAATCTAAAACGTTAGATCTGAAAAGATGTCATTTTCTAGTTCAGCCTGATGTGAAGGGTGAAATACCTTCACTAGATCGTACAGTAAGTTTCAGAGCCAGTTTCTGATACAAGTTCGGTGCTTTTTCCGTTTTTACTCTGCAGCCCAACTGCAGAAGGAACCAGATGTAGTCAGGTGCTTTGTGGCTGGGGTTCCAGTGTTGGGAGTCATCCAGCTTTGGGGGGGAGGGAGGAAGTTGTAGCAGAGAAGCCAGTTATGTCTAGGATTGAATTTTGTGTAACATCAACAAAATAGCTAAGCTTTTTAAGATAGGAATGATGCCAGTTCCAGAATTGGCATGGGTCATCCTTAAAACCCACAGGAGAAAACTTATGAACCAGCCCTGTAGCATGTTTTTCTAATTATTTGAAATGTGAACAGTATTTATAGAACAAGGGAAACATTTATTAAAAATATTTAACTGTCTAATACATTATACTTTAACCCATATTTATAGTAAAGGATTCTTACAAGGAAGAATAAACAGCTTTATGATACAATTAGTATAAGAAATATCCACATGGGGGACTTCTTTGTAGTGTAAAAACACCATACATCTGAAAGGACCATTTGCATATAAAAGCTACCAATGATGCTTCTGTGCACAGTGATTAAAAAATTCAACACAAACAGAATCCAAAATATACAATTAATGCAAGCTATCCACAGCTAGCCCAATCAATGATGAGGAAATACTGGAGCAGGCTTAGTTCCACTGTGTCTGAAGTTACACATAGTAAGATTGACTTGTATCAATGGCTCTGAGATGGCTTTTATGAAGACGGTACATAAAAGCTGTTCTCTCCTTACCCAGTAAGCTTCACAGACTGTAAAGCTCCACCAGTAATGCACTTTGATACTGTAGCTGTTGCTCAAGCAACACGTAGTGTTTACAGCGGCCATGGCAAGTCGCTAAAGTCAACAGGGCCGCCCAGCCCAGCATCTGCTTCCAAGAGGCTCATTATGACAGCCATTGCTGCTTCGTCGTTACTGGGACTACTTGAGCCTTGATCGTTGTCTATCATGTCTATGCCTATATGAGGGTTCTCCCCTGTGGAAGGAGAGAGAGACTGGTTAGTGGTGATTCCAAAGTGTGTTTACCTTAGTAAGCAATTCCTAAGCACACATTTATCTTAACAGTAGGATGAGAGCAGCTCCTTTTTGGTGCTACATTGCCATATACATATACTTTTTTAACTTAAAGGTTTTAGAGGGAAAAACTTTTTAGAAACAGTATTTCAATAGTAAAGATTAAAAACATCTGAGTTGACCGCAATTTAACTTTCTGATATAACCAACTATAAGGATGGAATTACAAAAGGAAAGAAATAGGAAGGTAGATTAGGAAAAGGAGATCTAGAAAGAACTACAGAAAAGATGGATGGGAAAAGCGGACCCTTCATTGCTAATGACCTTACTACCCTCTGAAACACATACTGTCACCTTGCTAGGCTTCACCTCTAAACCTCTGAAGAGGTTATCCGTTATGCCCTGACTTGGTGGAGAAAGTCTATGTCTAAGCTGCTGTATCTCCCAAGTTCAGGGACAAACTTTCATACTTCATCAGAACTCAACTTTGAAATAAAGTTTACACAAATTTTAAACTTGGTTCTTATCCAGTTTATCTAGAACAAGCTTGTTTGGTATATTTACATTGTATTAAAATGGACATGTCAGATGTCATGGAAATGAATAAAATGCCACTTACCAAGAATAGAAGAACTATCAGAATATGGATAACCTGGGTGCTCCTGAGCCTGCCCTGGTAGTAGGCCACTGGAAGGAATGTCTGGAGTCCCTCCATTTAAAATCTACAAACAAAAGTGAAGTTTTCACATCAATAGTTTTGGTCAGTATATGCTTACAAGAATCATGCTGAAAAATAGCTTCAAGTGGCTTCAGTTTCCTATTGGATGATTTCAGACAAACTGTTAAGAATGGTCACAGTAAGAGAACAAAAAACTCCCCAAAACTGTTCTTTTCGTGGCCACGCAGGCAATTTAAAGGCTGAATAAAATCAGCGTTCAGTTACCTTGGATCATGCTGCTCACATGTTTCTCTAGGGCCAAGGACTAAACCCCAGCTGGGCAGTTCCCCTCTAAGGGAGTAAAACTTATTACAGCAATAGATATTGCTGAACAAGAAATGAGAGCCTGTTAAGAAACTGGGAAGAGGCATAGCTCTGAGGAATCACAAATGAAAAAGTGCTAGTAGTAAATCTCTCTGCACCAGTTAACTACAGGAACGCCTCCAGTAACCAGTGGTTTAAGTTCTTAAGGTCCTGAAAAGCATTATTACTCCTCAGTAGTAGAATTCTCATTTTGTCTAAAAGCATTATTACTCCTCAGTAGCAGAATTCTCATTTTGTGTCGTGTCTCCCCCCCCCCCCCCCCCCCCCCCCCCCACACACACACACACACGCTTTCTTTCCCATTGAGTCTCATAGGAAAGCACCTGGGAGAAGTATTTGGATGTAGGTGAGAGAAACTGGTAGCTCCTTGAATTTCAGCAGAGGCGGTGATTTCAGGCCTTGCCAGTAGGTGGCATTACAATTTATCTCTGCAGTTCAAATGTTTGGTCTCGAGACCCCTTTTACACAATTTAAAAAATGAGGACTTCAAAGAACTTTTGTTTATGTGGGTTACATTTATCAATGTTTAAAGTTAAAAATAAATTCTTAAAATAATAAACCTATTACATGTTAATATGAATACAATTTTAATGAAATTTTTTTCCCAAAATAACAAAATTAGTGTCATTGATTTACATTTTAAAAAAATCCAGTGTCTGCTTTGTAGAATTTGACAGTGTTCTCATATTTGCTTCTTCATTTAGTCTGTTTAAATGCGTTGTCTGGTTATAATATATGAAGGAAATCTGGCCTCCTGCTTATATAGTTGGAAAAGGAAGGTATATTTTAAGTTTTCAAATAACTGTGGAATTAATCTTTGATATTACATCAAACTCAATAAGTGGAAGTTTCTCAAAAGTTTAGATGCAATGTGGAATCTGAAACCACATCAATGAAGTTTTTATACTCCTGTTAAAACCCATTGGTATATGAAACTACATCAATGAAGTTTTTATACTCCTGTTAAAACCCATTGGTATGTCCATCTTAGGATGGATCTTTTTATCTCTGCATGATGGTAAAACACCTTGCATTGGCGCACTCTCTCTCCCTGCACCTTTTCCATATCCCCCACCCCCCTCCTGGTGGGTATCTCCTAAATTCTAAGGGACCTCATGAGATTGCAATCAGGGAAGTAATGGGCATTGGCATCTTCCCAGGCTTAACCCCTGAACCTGTCTCCAATGTTCCCCTTTCTCTGACTTTCCAGTGAGCTGACAGCAGTCCCTCCTGTTGCTGCTTCTGTCCCAAGTCTCTCCTTGTTTCACTGCCCCCAGCTTAATAAATTTATTCTCAAAATCAAAAATAACCTTGTTTTATTTGTCATTTGGAAAATACTATTTCAGAGTTATGCAAATCTTTCAAATGTTGACACACTGACACATTTCATTGTACAACATCAAAATATCTTAATCGTTAATATCTAAATCTGCCCTAGCTGATTTGGCTCAGTGGATAGAGCGTTGGCCCTCGGACTGAAGGGTCTCGGGTTCAATTCCAGTCAAAGGCAGCACATAACTACGTTGCAAACTCGACCCCAGAGCATGTGTGGAGGCAATCAATGTTTCTGTGTCTCTTCCCCTCCCCACCACTCTATAAAAATCAAAGGAAATATGTTCCAGGTGGGGGTAGGGGAAGAGGGATTAACAAAATAAATATCTAAATCATCAGAAATATCTTTAAAACAGGTTCTTACTGATTTTTAGAGAGAGAGAAACATCAATAATGAAAGATTCACTGATCAGCTGCCTCCTACAGGCTCCCTACTGGGACCAAGCCTGTGTGCGACTCTACATGTGCCCTGACTGGGAATTAACTGTGATCTCTTGATTCATAGGTCGATGCTCAACCATTGAGCCACACTGGCTGGGCAGAAATATTTTTTAAGTTTTAGAAAGCTGTTGAGCTCAAAGTAGTAGATGCGTTTTCTGAAAATTCTAATTTTTGCTTGAAAGCTGTAATTTTATCATTGGCAGTAAATACTGTCAGTTTTCCTTGAAGTCACAGGTTCACTTCATTCATTTTCAAGGAAATGTACGCATATACCTAGGTTTGAATGGCCATAGTTTACAATAGGAAAAATAAGTGTTCTGTGAAGAAAGCCGTTTGTGCAGCTCAGAACTCACAGGGTCAAAGGGGCTTTTCAATATGTTACTGCTTTTTTACAGAGAGGAAGCGGGGGAGAGAGGGAGAGAGTTAGAAACATAGATGAGAGACAATGATCAGCTGCCTCCTGCACACCTCCTACTGGGGATGTGCGTGCACCCCAGTTACATGGCCTTGACAGAATCAAACCTTAGGACTCTTCAGTCCACAGGTCAAAACTCTATCCACTGAGCCAAACCGGTTTGGGCACTCCAGGGTTTTATAATTATTTTTACTGCTTCATTAAGGACATTCTTAAATGAAACTGTCTTTAAAATGTTTATTGCTTTCTCCATTTGAGTATATGGCAGTGAGAAAATAGTTTGGTGTCACTGCCCTCATTTTTGCAAAGGCACCAGCAGTTTTACCCAACACGGCTTTTGTACTATTGGTTCACATATCAACACAGTGAGAAAAAATAATCATCTGGCCTTATTATGAAAAGAGTTCGGACCTTGTAGAGCCCTGAAAGGATCTACAAAGAAGGGAAGTTTTCACATCACAGATGACACGGAAGGACTGGCTGCTTTGTGTGGACCTATTGCCTCTGGAGCCCGGACTCGCCTGGAAACTATGAGGCTCGCTTAGCCTTCCCTTCAGCTGAACCCACTGAAACAGCTGGCAAGGAGCTGAACGGCTCACTTTTGGACCTGCCAAATGTGAAAGTGACTGAGAAAGGCTGGAAGCATCATGGCTCTAGTGTACTGGTTACTGCTGCTGTCACTTTTAACTCTACCTTGTTTAGTCTATTTGTATGAGTTCTGCTGCTGAGGACTCAGAATACATTCAGAATTTCTTACACCTGCTTTTATAAGATCAAAGAAAAGGGCTTTTTTTTTTTTTTTTTTTTTTTTTTAAAGAAATGCTTTAAAAATACTTGGAGCTTTGTGGTGCTGAACATGCTCTTTCATCTCTGGCAGTTACTGGTGTAAAAAGGAATGAGAAGTCAAGAGATTCCAAGATATCGTTTGGAACCAGACTTTTTAAATGCTGGGCTGTATCTTTCACTCTGGGGAGCTTAGGTTTTGTTACCTATGAAGTTGTGAGGATAATATGAAAGAATGTACTTAAGCATTATACTGGATTGAAATAGTGGGATTCCTGACGGTACCAGGAAGTCAAGTGCCTAAAAGTTCCACTGAGAAGTAGAGGAGGGGAACAGGCCTAAGGAGAGAGGGGATCCCATTTGGAGGAAGGACCCCGGAGTGCAACAGAACAGCCAGGAGCACAGCCTGCAGCCCAGACTTCATCTCATCAATGCTATTTCAATGTTGTTAGCAAAGGTCAGGCACAGTCACATATCTAGAATAATAAAGTGTAATATGCTAATTAGACCCGGCATCCTTCCAGACAAAGCCAGGGGATGGCCCTGCCCCATCCCCCGGCAGCACCACAGCTCCTGCCTGAGAGGGAAGCCCGGGTCCAGGGTGCCAGAGGAAAGCTGGTGCAGGCGGCCAGGGGAGGGAAGGCCTGCACTTGCATGAAGTCCGTGCATCAGGCCTCTAGTTATTTCACAATAGGAGCTCATGCACAAAGCTGCTGGCTGTCCTAACCTATTTTAGCCTCATCAAAAAGAAAGTTAGGGCTTACCACGTTAAATGCCCAGCCTGTTTCGTCTTCCGGACACAAATATGGTGTCAGTCACTGGTGACTAAAATAGTGCAGGATCTCAGAGCTAGCATAGGCTTCAAACCCAGGTCTATCTTTGACCATGCACTTACCCACTCACTCACTGACTCTGAATTTTTTTTTTTTTTTGGAAGGGGTGGGGGCAAAGCCTTATTTCATACACAAACTTCTATAATAATAAAAAAAAACATGCAAATTGACCGAACAGGAGAACGACCATCCGGATGACCTTACTATGACACCCACTGGTGCCAGGCCAGCCAAGGTGGGTGCCATGCGATTGGTCAGGGGCCTGGCCATCGCCTCAAGATCTTGCAGAGGGAGGCCCAGGCCACAGGGTGGTCATTCAGTCAGGGGGCTTCATGATCGCCCCAAAGAGGGAGGCCCAGGCTACCCCTTGGCAGCACTGTGGCAGGTGGGTGGGGCCTCCTTTTAGGGGGGTGATCCATTGAGGAGCCCTGGCCGGGTGGGTGGGGCTTACCTCTTTGGGGCAATTAATCACAGGCTCCCGGACTGTGAGAGGGTATAGCCTGGGCTGAGGGCCCTCCCCCATCCTGCCCCTGAGTGCACGAATTTCATGCACCAGGCCTCTAGTTTATATATAACAGAAGTAAACTTGCCCTGGTACATTCATCTGTGGCCTTTTTTTGGCGGGGGGGAGGGTGAGGGGTGGCAAGTGGCAAGATCCTTTTAGGGCTCGGCAAGGTCCAGAAGATTCATATGCAATAGAAGTGAAGCTGCCCTGGCAGAAGACAGGAGTTCTGACCTTCCCTCCTCTCACCAGTGGCCCTGCCCCATCCCCCGGCAGCACCACAGCTCCTGCCTGAGCCTTGGAGGAGCCCAGCTTTAAAGACCCATGTCCTGCTTTTGCTACAGTTTGTGCTTTATTAGTCCCATCTATGTAAATTGCTAATACTCTCTGTGTATGTGTTCTGGAAGACGGGGGAAGACTGTCTGAAGATGCTGCAGCCTAACGTAATTAACATCAGGCATCATAAATGGATTTATGATTTATAATGAACATGGACCTAGACTTGGAACTTCTCTGCTAAAGATGAAACAGAGGAGTCGTTTCTAAGCCTATTTCATGTGTCCCTCTAGCTAGCTCTGTGAGGGCTGGCGACTGATGAGCTGCGCGCACCCGTGCTGCCGCCGCCACAGGAAACCAGGCGGCGGATCCCCACGCCCTGCAACTGCAAAGGCCTGGCCTGCCTTTCGAAGCCCTGCTGGTGCATCACTGTGTCCAGTCCCTGCACTAGACACTGATGGTGTTTTCGCCCTTGAGAACTCCTGGAAGGGAACTGGATAGTTTTCTATGTGGTACTCACTAATCCTTCCCTCATGGAAGCTCTTGAATTGTTCCTCAGTGCAATGGACTGATAGCTTCCCCTCCTTAGAAGAAGCTCTCAGCTTTCCCCACTCACATGCAATCAATCCTCTGAGGATGCCAGCAAGCCACTCTAGCTCTACCAGTATGCTTTGTACCTAGCCTCACAACAGTGCATTTACTCAAGGAGGAAAAATGTTTCAGCAACCACAATTGTAATGATATATTCTCACCCAAACACTTCAGAACCTGCGCAAGATGCTCTCTAGATTAAGAGGGGCCTTACCTTCTTGCCTCCTGGGGAAGAGGCATCAGGAGGAGGTGTACTGGTGATGTTCAGTGGGCTGGAGCCACAGCTGGAAGGCGAGGACCCTCTTATCCTGTCAGAGAAAAGAGGAGTCAGGTACATAGCCTTTCCCTTTGTTAGAGACGTGTGTGTGTGTGTGTGTGTGTGTGTGTGTGTGTGTGTGTGTAAGACAAAGGATGAATTGGCAAACTTCTTCTGTAAAGAGCCAGAGAGTAACTACTTTGGGCTCTCCAGGTCACAATTACTCAACACTGCCATTGTAGCTTCAATCAGCCATAGACAATTCGTAAGTGAACGGATGTAGCTGTATTCCACAAAAAACTTTATATAAAAAATAGGCAAGCTTGGCTGGTGTGGCTCAGTGGTTGACCATCATCCTCTGAACCAGGAGGTCATGATTCAATTCCCGGTCAGGGTATATGTCTGGGTTGTGGGCTCGATCCCCAATAGGTGGTGTGCAGGAGGCAGCCAATCAATGATTCTCATCATTGATGTTTCTCTCTCCCTCTGTGAAATCAATAAAAACATTAAAAAAAAAAAACGCAAAAAAAAAAAAAACTCACAGGTGATAAGCTGGATTTATCTCATGGACACCTAATCTAGGATGCAGATCCTGAAGTCAAACATCTCGCTAACAAAGCCCTTGGATTATGGTTTGGAATTCAGGGTCGAATTTCAGGTAAGTGGCCAGTTTTATTTCCTTAGAAAAATCCAGATCAAGAGTTGGAGGGAACTTAAGAAGTTCATTCTCTATTTTTGATACTAAACCCACAGCAATGATTAATCTTCTTCCCTGCAAACACTGTTCAGCCAATGAATACTCTTGGGACATGGAGGGTCCTAGGGTACTCAGTCACTCCTAGAAAGTAGCTCTGCAGTAAGTAGTATTGGTCACCTTCTAAGGCAATAGAGAAATGATGGCCCTTCCAGGCCCTTCTCAGCACAGGTGTACAGAGGGGAAGACTTAGAACCATAAATCCACATACACTTGGCAGCTGCAGGACCCCAGGAAAGTGGCCTCGGCCTGGCGCTGAAGCTGGAGCTGAGGCAGAGGATGGTGGCAGCTGCGCGGCCACCAGGCTCCTGGCTTCTCATTGATGGATGTGGCTTTTGGGTCCCCAGGGACCCATCCCCACTTCCCAGCAGCCTTTTGGCTCTTGGCCTGCACTGCCTAGTTCTGTAGATCTGTGATTGAACAAGTTCTCTCTCTCTCCTGGGTCATAAGCTTCTCAAAGGATACATCTATATGCACCTTTAGGGCACACAGAGGCCTCCTAATTGCTTACTGCAAAGTACTGACTGTCTCCACCTTTTCTTACCTCTCCCTGTGAAACCACTATTTTCCCCAGGTTCCCCATCTTGAATTGCCTTTTCATTGTTTGTTCCATCTTCAGTATCTAGTCCTTAAATTATTCATTTCTCGTTTGGAGAGCATCACCGCGGCAGGATGGGCCTCGTTCCTGGCGTGCTCACCTTCCTCTCCTCCCGTTTCAGTGGGCTTCCACAGTGCTTACCAACACCTGTTCAGCATCCCATAATGAATGGGGTGTTATTTCCCAGTGTAAACTACTCAGCATCATTTTTTAGTGATATTAGAAATTTCCCATCAGAGCTCTGTGGCTTCTTACAAAGACTGCCCAGTTATGTGGCCTGGTTCCTGACCCTGAATATGCCACTCATGTGCCCACCCAGTGTGTGCCTGTCTTTTCTAGAAGCAATGCCCACCTTCATCACAGAACCAAGCTTCGACCAAGTTCAAAATCTAGATGCCATGAACTAAACCCTGCCTGCTTCAGCCCATGTGCTCTCCCTTTTCTCTATTATAAAGAAAACAGGCTTCTCAAAGACTGTGAGATCACTGAGGTCAAAGGCTGGTTTACAATGTTCTTGGGTGGTCTCAGCCAAACACAGGGTATGTGGTGGCTGATGGTATCCTGGTCATCGCTGTACCTGACCCCACATCTCCCTTCTGAAGTGTCATCCTTCATTCCTGTTGGATTGGAACAGAACAGCTACCCGCTGGTCAGAACCCCATTAGAGTCCCATTACAGTCAACTGGAACACTAAGGCCAGCCCCATTCGCCTGCAAATCCCGTGAGAGCAAGAATTAGCAGTCGTTTTTCCTTTTCCTATGATTGTGTCCCATTATATTTGTATTCCCAAGGACCTGGTTTCCACCTCTCCTTTCCCCAACTTCAGATGGACTTGTAATAACTACTTCCCTCTCAATGACTGCTCTTAGAGACTTAAGACTTACGTAACAATTTTGAGCACTCTCTGTCAGTTTCTCTGTCAAGAACTGTCCTAAGTTCCCTCACGATCCCACAGCAATCCTCGGAGATAGATATGCCTCCCTTCCACGGCCTAAGTCAACACAGACCAAGAAGCTAAGTGAATCTCCTAAGCATCACCAAGTACCAGTTCAGCAGCGATTCTCACCCGGGGTGCCCCAAGAATTTTTAAGACATGCTATACCTGACTATTTAGTCAGAGCACCTTTTCAAATAAAAAATGACAACACAACAATGACTGTCCAGTGTGAATGAATTAAAATTATACCATTTTTTTGAGGGGTTAGATTGGCCAAAAAAAAAAATTTCTGTGGCGTGCTGCAGAATTGTAGTCATTAGTTTGTGTGTGCCATGGGAAGGAAAAGGTGGAAAACTGCTGAAGCAGAGGCCCAGGCACATGTCCCCTTCTCTCCTGTGAAGAAGTTTCCATCAGGAGCTGAAGGGCCTGGTCTCCGCTACACCCCAGGCAGTTTTGTGATCGGAGAAGCTAATGCTTTGAATCTCGGCTCGCCTGCAGTCCTGGGATGCCAGTGTTCACCATCCTCACCGGGAAGCACCCTGACCCATCCACCAGGTCACTAGAGTTCCCTTTATCTCTGGGCTGTTTTGGGTTTAGTCTCTTTATTTAAGGCAGATTTCTCAGTCTCAGCACTATTGTCAGTTTAGACTAGAACTTTTAAAAAAATATATATATTTTATTGATTTTTTTTTACAGAGAGGAAGAGAGAGGGATAGAGAATTAGAAACATCATTGAGAGAGAGAGACATCGATCACCTGCCTCTTGCTTTTTGTTGGGGGTGGGGTGGGGGAGAGGCACTTCTGTGGACTGTAGGTTACAACTATGTACACCCAGTTATATAGGATGTTCAGGAAGCAGCACCCTGGCCTCAATCCAGGAGTGTTTAGTAGCCACCCATTTGCTACAACCAGCTATATTTCTAGAGACTACAAAATGTCCCTGGGGATGGGGGAGGAGGGAGGAAGAATTCTCTGGGTGGAGAACCACTCGTTTAAGGGAACAACTAGAAGACGTTACTTGCCTGTGGATTTCCATGATTTCCTCAGCAATCATTCGACCTATTTTTCCTGCCCCGGCCCTGGTTCCCCCTGGAATCCCTGGGACAGTGGGGTGGGTCCTCTTCAGGCCACCTACAACAAAGGAATCTGAGCGTGAGAAAGGGGAAACTGAAGAACACACACTACTGTACATTCAATTACTATCAGTTCATCCCAAGATGTGCTTGAAGTTCAACCTGAGGGCTGTGCCTAGGGCTGTTAGAACCATAGCTTGGCAGGAAAAGGCTCAGAGGCCAAGTGCTGAAGAACCCACTCCCCTTCTGGCTCCGCATGCCTCACTGAACGCACCGCTGCACAGATAAGGCAGCTCCCTGCCCGTGGCAAAGTGGGACAAGTTTGATGGGTAAGCATGAGCCACTCAACTCATCCTGGCCAGGGGAAGCTTCCTGAAAGACTTCAACCCTGAGCCGAGTCTTGAGAGAGGGAGCATACAGTAGCTTGGCAGAGAGGCAGGGAGGGGGAAGCATTCCAGGCACAGCAACCAGTAGATGCAGGAGGGCAACCCCTGGGAGACCACTCCAAGAAACTCATCGTGAATGAGGATGAAGCAGTGATGAGGAGAAGGAAGAGGCGGGTACCAATCAGGTCATGAAAGGCCTTGGATGCCACTAACAGATTTGGACGGATGCACAGAGGGATCAAGAGCCCCAAAGGGCCCTACACAGAAAGGTAATGACTTAGATTTGGTGATTCGTCAGCTGCACGGAGAATGAACTGCAGTGGAGGATGGGGGCAGGGAGAGAGAGACGGGTTAGGTGAGAGGGTGAAGGAGGGACAGCGATGATGAGAGGTTTGAGTTCCATGTTCAGATAGAAGGGGAGAGCTAGGAGACAGGTTTCTGACTTAAGCAACCAGAGGGGCTATGCAGGGAATTGGTTGGGATGTGCCAACTTTCTGGTGCCTTTGGTCTCGGGGGTCCTTCCCAGGAGGCAATGGAGAGACAGACCTGGAGCTCAGCAGGGCCTGGATCAGGTCACCCATGGAGGGAGGGGTTGGAAGACGTGCAAGCAGAAGGGATCCTGCAGAGCATGTGCAAGTGCCCACAAAGGATGTGGCAAGTGCGGAGAGCAGGGGGCAAGGCCAAGTCCGGGGAGGGAGCCCCGGGGCACATACCTCCCTGCCCCCTATCACCCCCACAGGGGTCTGTGACAGTCATGATAGAGCACGCCAGTCACATCACAGCCAGCGGGCAGCACGAGGGAGGAAAAGCACGAGAGGAGCTGGACTCTGCTATTAAGAGCTTCCCGGACCAAGCAGCTTCCGAAAAGACAAAATCAAGTTTTTGGTATTCCAGGCTCAAGAGAGCAAGTGAGAGGACGAGGCCTCCCTTGTCCACAGAACAGGTGACTGGGGACCCCAGATACCAAAGGCCTTTTGTTCACAAGCAGCTTCTCAGAGGCGAGCCCGATGCCCTGGCAATAGTTACCTTCTCCAGGGGGCAGCATGCCGTCCATGCTGTGGGGGGACACCGTGAGCTGCGGGAAGCCTGGATCCCTGCTTTCCAGGACGCTGGCTCTGTGAACATCCCAGCAAGAAGGAAACGTGAGTCAGGCCTGCTCAGACCGTGCATCTTTCACCTTGGCCAAGGTGCCCGGTGTCCACTCTGGAACCGGACAGGCCAGGAAATGAAGTGTCTGTCTGAGTGACCCAGAGGTCTCCTTGCCGAGCGATAACACGATGGATGGCATCCTGGCCTGTGACCTCACTGCCTGGGGCCCTTCTGTTCAGAGGGAGCAGCTGCGGGCCTGCTCCCTGCGAGCCTGCACTGCGCCTGCCCTGGCCCCTCGCTCTGCCCAAATCACAGGTGGGGGTTCGGACACCACAGGGAGGGAGATGTGGAGAGCAGCCCAGCCAGAGCGAAGGCCTTTTCTGTCCCTGCTTATCTAGCAGGTGGCATTCCAGCTGTAATGCTCAAGCCACCAGCCTGGTGGGCACAGAGAGCCATCCTCTCAGCCAAGGCCAGTCTGAGCTGATGTTCACGGGAGCCTCCCATGGACTGCCAACCCTTCCCTCAGAGATCAGGGGAGCTCGGGGTGCAGGGCCTGCAGAATTCAGAGGCTGTCTGCTTTATCTGGAAGGAGGGGGTATGGGTTCCTGGAGCAGTGCCATGGGCCTGGGGCTTGCACATCTGAGCACTCAGTTTGTCCCTTTTGGCTTCTGCAACCCTGGGGCTTTATGGGGTATGAGCAGCTGGCCCCAAAGGATGAGATACGGGCTGTGCCTGCATCCCTTTCTCTGGTAAGGAGCCCAGGGCATTTCCTTTTGAATGAAGAAACTCCTGATGTAGGAGAAACACTTACAAAACAACAGTGTTGGTTGAGACAATGTATTCTACTTCCTTGGTCCAAGGGTTCATGAAACTGAACCATCGACTCCGCAGTGTGATGAAAGAACCATCTTTGATTTTAAACTTATAGCAGTTGGTTGTGATCTTTTCTCTCGTCTGTAAAACTGCAAATGCAAAGAAACCATGAACATTGTTGTTTCCCAGGTCAGGGTATGAAACTAACCAAATCCTAACGCATCGGGCTCCCAGGCCGCCTCTCTTCGATAAGCCGAGGTTATTTCTAAGGGGCCGACTCAGAGCCTTTCGATGCAGTTGTGAACCTGTCCCTGTTTCCAGTGTATGAGATGACGGCTCAGCAAACGCCTGGCTGCACTGCAGACATCGGCCGCAATCAGCGGTGACGTGGACACAGCTAATGAGAAGGCGCGGTGCAAAGGGACTGTGTTCTTCCCATCTCAAAGCCCGAGGCAGGACAGCACTTTTAGGGCTTCTTCATCCAGAGAAGTCATGCACCTATCCAAACCTATTCTTTTATCCAACAAACATGTAACAAGCACCTTTCATGTGCCAGGCCTGGAGATAGGAGAGACTATGACACCTGCCCGAAGCAGAGCAATGAGGCAGCTATGCAGAGGAGGAGACTGGGGTCTTGAGGGGTGAACAGGAGTTTGACAAAGGGAAGAATGCAGCAGTTCCCAGTTGTGACAGGCCCAGGCAGCAGCAGGGGACAGTGAGATGGTTGGCATGGATGGGAGGTGAAGAAGCTAAGGAGGTAGGTTGGGGCCAGGAGGTAAAGGGCCTTGAATGCATTTGGCCTTGAGTGTCAAGGCGGGCTTTAAGCAGGAATGGGACATTTTCAGGCTTGGTCTACCAGGACAGAAATGGGTTAATTATGGACGGAAGATGGACTGGGAGCAGAAGGGAGGCCTGTCAGCAGGCTTTCGCAAATAAAAGGTGGGCACAAGGACCCGAACCAGGACATGGAGGTGGCAAAAGGGTCCTCTGAGGACATGCATGTCTGAAGTGAATGAACCGATCTGGTGGACAGTAAAGTAAAGGAAGGGTCAGTATGGGTTTCTTTCTGAGGAGACTGTGTATGTGGCCGTGCCATTAACGAAGAGGAAAAGACAGACAGCAGCGCAGGGTTTTTGAAAGAGAGAATTAGAACTGCTGGGCCACACTAAATCTTTCCGCGTCTGGAGGGATCCTGTGAATGAGGGATGCCCTCTGGGAATCAGCCGGACCTCTGTCCAGAAACGGCTGGGCAGGCAGGGCTGGGTTCTGTAGGGGATGAACAGGGCTCCCATCAGCCCCCTCTCCTCACAGACTATTGGCCTCGAGACTCCTGGGCTGGCTGACTCCGAGGCACTGCGGCAGATTTCCTGGAAGACCATGTGGGCCAGTGCAGAAGCGGGGTGTGCAAACCTAATGTCCTCTGTGCAGCCAGCTTACCTTGCCTGTGACATTCTGCGAGATGGCCTATGTCATCTTGGTGAAAATATTCATAACATGATGTGCCTAGAAGTTCTTGTGGTAAATATGCCAAAATAGCTGTTGCCCTGGAAGGGAACGTTAAAAAAAAAAAAAATCCAGGAGATTACTTTGTGGAGATTTTATTTATATGTACATATATGTGTGCATACATGACACATGTATGTAGATATGACAGAGTAAGCCCTCTGAAAATCTCCCAGCTTTGACCTTGTCCTCATATATATGTATATGTATTTCATGCAACTGAATTACACTAAAGTTATAAAAACAGAGAGAAAAAAGCCTTTCAAAGGGGTTGTTATAACAAGTAATCAAGCTTTGGGAGGTTTGAAAAATGGTAACTATGTTAGATAAAAATGTAGTAGAAATCTACAGCCCCGTGCAAACCTTCTCCATTTCACTGCCTGCTTTTTATCAGGAAAACCAAACACCAGAAGGTCCAGCAGCAGGACCTTGGAAAATGTCTTCTTTCCCCGCACTGAGTGACTTGCAGGAGCCTGAAAACGACTAGCTGTGAATATTCGTAACGGGCAGCAGAGGGCAGTGGGAAATCTGAGACTGCTGGGCCAGCAGCTCAGGTCTACCACCAACTAGTGCGAGTCCCGGAGGAAGCCAGGCTCCAGGCGGGGCCTCAGTCATCCTCCAGAAACGATGAGATGGACAATCAGTGCTGTCCACTGGGACCTTCAGTAATGATGGGAACATTCCATATCTGAGCCACCAGCCACACGTGGCTACTGAGTACTTGAAATGTGGCTAGTGAGCCTGAGGAATTTAATTTAATTTTAATTGATTAAATTAAAACTTGAGTAGTCGCACGAGATTACCAGTAGCCTCAGGACTGGATACTATCTTCTAAGTCCTAGTTCCCAAATTCCCATCACAGAGCGGTCCAGGAACATCCCACATGTGCTGTGCCTAGGGGTTCTCTGGCCACACGCATCAAACCACCTACTTAACTGTCTCCACAGGCCAAGAATGAGAGGAAATCTCTGCGTTTATGATGACAATCTTATGGACCTCAGTTTTTAGCAGCGATCCCCATCATTTCCTCTCGCTTTATTTTTAGGAAAGCCAGCTCCTTGCCCAGTTGTCTCTGCTTTACTCGGGTTTGAACTCCCCCATCATCATTCCAGAATAACATACAGACGCTCACCTCTGGTCTACAAAAACAAACTTCCCGTCGATGGCATGCCGAGAGACATATTCCATAGACTTCACCCTGATTTCCCCGTTCACCGGCTGTGGAACCACGTGAGAATGCAACCTTCCTATCGCGACAAGGCAGCTGAGATTACACCCCTCGTTGTCCGGCTCGTTGTCTTCATCCAGCCCCATCTTTGTGGGCGGCCAGCTTTTCAAATAGCCGGTGCTGTGGATTGTGCAGAAGCTTTTGCGATCTGCTAGAAAGCAAAGTCCACGGTTAGTGGCAGTTGGCTTCGGGGGACGGAGGCATGGGGCGCCTGTGGTGGGCTGGGATGTCGGCAGGGAGTCAAAACATGGAAAGCAAGGCCTTCCTCTCCAAAGGTGAGCATCCAGTGAGAAAGGAAGGCCGAAGATGAACTATCACCCCATGTCATGTGTGTTTAGTCGAGTGGTCAAACCAAAGGAGATATGAGTCTACCTGGGGAAAGGAAGGCTGCCCAGAAACACAATGTGGATGCAGATACAGAAGGATGGGCACTGGCTCAGGGTCGAGGATGTGCAAAGACTGAGGATGTGCAAAGGCTGAGGATGGACAATGGCTGAGGGCGGACAATGGCACAGAGCATATCCAGTACAAAAACATCACGGAGCTCTGCCTGGCTCAGTGAAAGGGAGGGGCTGGGGGTGCAGCTGGAAAGGCAGGTGGGGCCTTGATTCTTTGCTAACAATTGTGCCGGTCTTTTCTGTTAGGAAATGAAGAGCTCCCAACGGGATGTAAGTGGAGAAACAGCAAAATCAAATCAGGGTTTGGAGGCTCGAGAAGCAGAGTGACCGCTGGAAGAGGAAACCAAAAGGAGGAGAATCATGGCGAGAGCTGAGGCTGTGCTGGGCAGTGCCCTGAGGAGGTGGCCGGGAGGACATGGGAGAAACTGCTGAGAATTCCTGGGATTTGGTATGATTATCCAAGTATTTGGCTGAAAGAAAGCAAATGAAGATAACTTGGAATTTTTTAGGTTGAGTGGCTGCTGGAACAGCCCACTGACTCAGAGAAGAGAGTTACATGCTGGAGAGAGAAGAGATTTCACTTGGGGACATAAGAAGTGTGGAGCATTTTTATGGGTTTCAACCATAAAATCCTTGGATGTGTGTAGCAAGCATCAGGTCTGTGCTAGTGACTGGGAACTGTAGAAACCAAATCCTGTTAAGGATTTAACTTTTCTTCAAGAGCAATGGGAACAGCCAAGAGTTTGAAGTAGGGAACTGATAAGACTTGCATTTTAAAAAGGCCTTTCTGGAAGGTGTGTGGGCCTACTTTACAAAGACGGGGGAGAGCTGAATGCAGCCTGGATCTGGGAAAGCGGTGACCGTGGATAAACATTTCGGATACCTTCTGCAGAAGGAATTCATTGTGGCAGGGCTCTGTGAGTGGGGTGGGGCTGAAATGGGGCTCGAGGGTACCTCTCCGGCTTCTAGTATGTGCAACTAGGTGGTTTATTTTTTGCTTTATTAGTTTTTTGCTGCTATTAATATCAAGGAGAAGCTCAGGTGGTTACTTTCACATCTATCATATTTAGAGGTGCCCTTGAGAGATCTAAGCAGGTGGATTTAATAAGCAGATAATTTATGGATCTGGAGTTCAAAAGAGAAGTCTGGGCTAGAATATAAACTTGGAGGTTATTCACATATAAATGACATTGCAAGCTAAGGGTTCACTTGTGGATGGAGCAGATCCAGAAAAGAGAAGGTGGCCTCAGACAGACGAGGATCCCGCAACAGGAACGAGGAGGAGAGGCTGGAGTGGCCGAGGGTGGGGAGATGAGAATGGGGTTTCATGGAATCTGAGGAAGAGAACGCTGTAAGATGGCAGAAAAATGAAAAGTGACCTTTGCAGTTAGCATGAGGTCACTGATGAATTCAGCAAGAACAGTTCTGATGAATGGGCGGGTTCCTCAAGAGGCAGTAAGAAACTGTGGGTGGGAGTATCTTTCCCATCCAATGACAACAAGCAGAATGTAAGCTGAGGAAGCCTTCCCACGCTTTGTGGCCCTGACAGCCCATCAGGGCTTCCTGCTCTGTCTCCCACGTGATAGATAGCAGGCAGTGGGGTCCTGGCTGCAGTCCTGGGACCTGCCGCTCTGGCCAGCGGGGAGACGCTGAGCCAACAACCTAATGAGCACCCCCGTGTAGAAGCGAGCATCACCTGGGACAGGAGGTGACAGAACTGAGAAATTACCTTTTTTCTTTGAGCAGGTGGAGGGGAACTCCTTGTCTTCAACCTTTACTGAAGGCCTGTTACACTTCATCCTACAGAAGAAAGAACGCCGTGCTCCAGAACATAACCGAGATGGCCCAGGGGTTATATCTGTTTTAACTGGGAGTCCAGCTGCAAATCAATACACAAAACGTGATAAACTGAGAGTAGTGTTGTCTGTCAGGAGGGGAATGTGACCTTGAAGAAAGCCTTTCCTTTCCTGCCTCCCTGCTTCTAGCGGTGCCGTGAGAATAACATTTCTCCTCAGGTTAGGCCGTAGAAGGTGCCATACGGGGAGGTGTGGGGTCTAGCAACGTTTCAAGGTCACGTAGAATGCAGCCCCTGGAGGAATGGACAGGGCGCTCTGAGGGCTATAAAGAAACAGCACAGGGTTCCTGTCTGCCAGGAGCTCACGGCTGAGAAGGGGAAATGAAAGTCCATCACGAAAACACAGGGTGAGGTATCATTAGTGCCAACCTGTGCTTCCCAGGGAGGAAGAACACGTGCTAGGACTTGAAGGATGGGGAAGACTTAGATGCTGAATGGGATGAAGCAGAACACTCTTAACCTCTCAGTCCGGGTCCCTGGACCCCACTTAGGTCTGTGCTGTCCAGTTCTGCAGCCACCAGCTCCTGCAGCTGCTGCACACCTGAAGTGCAGCATGCTGGCGGGGTGTGCTGTGCGAATCCACACAGGATTTCAAAAACTGAGAACTAAAAAAAGTAAAAGATCTCATTTTGGATTTATTCGGTTAAATAAAATCTAGTATTACAACTAGTTTTACATTTATTTTTACTATTTTTGATCGCAAATGTGGCTCATATTTGTGGTCTGCATTTGTGGTTTCCATTGGACTGTGTTGTGTTAAACCAACTGAATTGGAGTCTTGGGGTGGGGGAAGTGTGTGATTATGACCTTGACAGAAACACTGGCTACTTGTCACTGCAGAAGCTGCTGCTGCAGATCCTGTTGGGGCAACTCGTGCCCACGGACCACCACGGGGTCAGGGCAAAGGCTGTTGCCCTGGGCTCCTCCTGGGCTCACCTTCTGCAACCTCCCTCCCACACTGCTGCCTCTGAACTTCCCAGAATGCCGATCCGAGCCGGTCCCATCTGGTCAGAGCCCCTCCATGTGTCCCCACAATGGAGAGGTTTGCCTCACTGGCTCAGAGCCCCTCCCTGTGTCCTCACCACAGAGGGGCCTTTGTATACCAGCTCTCCCCCGTCCATGCGTGTTTTTTTCCAGCAGCATCAAGCAGACACACCTCTGCACCCACCCACAAATCATTTCCTCAGCTCTCTTCCTCTCTTTGTCACCCGGCAAACATTAATTCATCTTTTCAAACCCACAGCAGTTGTCACCTACGCGCGAGATGCCCGTCCCGGTGCCCACATGAGAATTAATCACCCACGCGCTCTGCCTGGCACCACTTCTGTGGCCGCACCTCTCACGCAGGGAGGTGGCTGACTCCTTGTCTCCAGGACTATCTGGCAAGAAACTCAAAGGTGGGGGCAAACACCACTCATCTCTTTCTCTCCAGGTCTCTAAAACGTTGCAAGGGCCAGACTACAAAGGACAATAGGTTGCAGAAACTGCAGGGCACTTTTAGGAAGAGGAGGAGTGCCTTAAGGAAAAGGACAGTTTAAAGGCGATTCCTCTGGTGGCATTTCCCTCCAGGAATTAAAATGAAGAGCCTGGAAGCAGGAAACTGGTAAGGCCATGACTGCACTGTGCCAAGGCGTGCCGGGAACTGTCCTATATGCTTCATGTACATTAACATGCTTAATCCTCGCAATAACTTAGACATAGGTACTATTTTGCAGATAAGGAGGCTGAGGCACAGGGAGGTTAAGTAACTTGCTCAAGGCCACACAGCGGGTCAATGGTGGGACCAGGAGGTGAGCCTGACAATCTGACTCAAAGCCAGACTCTTAACTGCTGGAGTGCACAGCCTCCCTGGGGTCTGAAGGAGAAAACTACAGACCCTCACTCAGGAGGCCCAGGAGGGAACGCAGGAACAGGAAGCGAGGGGAGTGTGCGCAGTGGTTCCACTGCGACAAGAAGGAAGCCAGGAAGGGGAGCCAACCTGAGGAGGAGAATTATAGTAAAGAAACCTAGGTCTATTTCATTCTAAGTTGTCTTACTTTTGTGAGGCTGTATGTATACAACTCAGATAAACAGAAATTATTATTTGGGGTGGGGGGAGAGACAAATCAACTTGATGTGAGACCTTTAAACTTAGGGGCATAAAACTGATTCTGAATTCCTAGGGGAATTTCTGGATTCTTAATAAAAAAAAAAAAGACTGAAAATCAGTTTGGCCCGGTGTGCTCAGTGATTGAAACAGGAGGTCACAGTTCAATTCCCAGTCAGGGCACATGCCCGGGTTGCAGGCTCAACCCCAGTGCGGGGGATGCAGGAGGCAGCTGTTCAATGATTCTCTTTCATCATTGATGTTTCTCTCTCTCTCCTCCTCCTTTTCTGAAATAAATAAAAATATACTTAAAAAACAACTAAAAATCAGAAAGAATAAAATCAAAGTAGTTGTTTTTCCTCTTAATGAATTTGGACATTCAGGTTTTCTTCTTTATGTAAAAAAAACAAAACAAAAACAAAAGATTGTACATAATTCCCTTTTGCCAAAGATAGGAGGGAAGAGAAGGGACTCATACTCTGAACGGAGTGCGTTCTGCGGGCGCTGAGGAAGCAGCAGCCTTCTCTACTCACTTTTCGCATCGATGAGGCGCTCCCGGGGGGCGGTGTCAGAGGAGGAGAGCTGCTCCTTCACTTTGGCAATGTCTTTAGGATGCAGGTAGTCAAACAAACTCTGGCCAATCAGATCATTCTGTGCGGATGAAATATCAAAAATGACAAGTAGAAATTATCTAAGTGCTTTCCCTTTATTTTGTATTTTAAGCATGACAATTTCAACCATTTCATATGAGAACTTGCACACAAGTGCACTTTGTCTAGATATGGGCATTGGGAGACTGGTGCCAATAACACAGGGAAAAAGGGCCCAATTACATAAACAGTTCACGCTCCTTAAAGGCAAGAATCTGTGCATTATTTTTTTATTTCTGAGGACTGTAGGGTATGGGCTCTGCCTCTTGCTTTTTTAAGCCTCTCTGTTCCTAAGCAAGCTGGGTCACACCAAATGCTTCCATAGCCTCTTCTGCTAGCAGAGATAACTTTCATGTAAGACTGAAACGAGTAAAATATTTGCAAAGCATGAAATTTACTTTAATTCTAATTCATACAAGTGTTATTTTGATTCTGATTCTGCCTAATCCAGTGTTCATTCAAACACCAGCATTCCACAAGTGACAGAACGAATGAATGAGTGAATAAAACCTCTATGGACACAATAGGCATATTGCTGAGCTCTAGAAGCTTCCAAAAATGTTATTACTTGATCCTACAAACATTCACAAAGGGTCTGGATCGTTACAACTAGGTTTTAGAGGAAGCTGAGGTTCAGCAGAGCTATTAAGTGGTACGTCACTGAAAGCGCAGAATGGGTGGGTTCCGTTTCCCTGTTCTCTGGTATCATATGATCTGCCTGACCCTCTCCTCTCCCTGGGCCCTCATCCTCCACTCTGCCCTGCAGCTGTGGGGTATTTCTTTTGCAGCAATAAGAAAGTTAGAAAGCTGCTGCTGAGATCAGAGTCAAACCTTTCAAATGGTGAAACAAGGATCATATATATGTTAAAAGATTTTTCTAAGTTTAATTTCTCTGGTAACAAGTAAAGAATTTTCTGGAAGAAGGATTGGTAGGAGGACAATTATAAGCATTTCCCATGTAACTTGTGTGCTATAATTATTCTGCAAGTGGAGAGACCTTTGTGGCTGCTGGGCAGCTGCCCACCATCAACAGGGGCATGAGCAATACCTGGCTGTAGTTGAGGATCTTGAAGACAGACTCTGAGACAAAGAGAATCTTCCCTCGGTCACATCCTACGACAAACAAAAATCCATCTGCTGCCTAATCAGGAGAAATGGATAATCAATTTATCACACTTCAAGAAACATGACTGTAATCACTCTGATAGCAAATAAAGATATGCGTTCTAAGTAACCAAAGCACAGGACTGCTCTCATGGACAATGTCACAGGTTTGCTGAGAACAGGATGCTTAAAGCAACAGTTCTATAAAAAGCAAGATTCTCTCCAAGGCAGATCTGTATCATCTAAGTCATCTAGTGATTACAGGGAAAAGTCCAATTATTAAATTGTTTCAAAGCTGAATTCAGCATAACAACGTTCCTTTGATTGCATTATGGTCCAGAGGAGTCATATGTTATGGCTCTAATTAAAACAACTCTATGCAGAATCACAGCCTGAGATTGGAAGGATTTCTAAGTTTGGAATCCCTTCTCCAATCTTGGCTACATCTGTTCGCGACTTGAACGGCTCCGTTTTTGGAGGGCACTGGGACAGTGGTTTTTATTTTGTTTTATGCTGACATTTGGAGTAGGGCTGTATCATTGGTACTGTTTTAATCCCCACTTTTGCCCCCAATGACTATAATGTACACAGGATTGAAAGCTACTGCTCTCAAATATTATCCTTTGACCCAGGGCTAGGCTGTTTGTTCCTAAGTAAGATAAGAAAAGCAGAGCAAAAATTTCCCCTTAGATGCTTCTAACCTCTTTGCTTTACATACAAGTAAAAATCTAAAGTGCCAATAAGGACAGGTGTAAGACAGGACAGTATTTGTTAGAGAGACTGAAATGGGTAACTACCAAAGTTGCAGCATCTGAGAGCTTAGACCGTTTCATATGTGAGCACGATTCCTAGACCCTCTTTTCCGATGGACAGACTGCTCAGCTTCTGCTGGGTATCTCTACTGCCCGGAATCTAACGCAATCTCTCGGGGACTTGCTCTTTACTCACTCCCCCTCCCCCTGCAGATCTAATACACAGTGGGTCAATCTTGCTTTGTTCATTAGCTCTCAGCCTGTTCTTGGGAAAAATAAAGGACCTTTGAGATACAGCTTAATTCAAGGAACGAGGAAATGAATTCATGCACCGGAGGTTAAAGAATGGTGTGTGCACTAGTGCTGGGGTGAAAGGAGTGAATGAGAGGGGAAACAATCGCAGTGGCTGTGAGAGAAGCCAGTGGGCCATCCAGCTGGGAGGAAGCCGGAATGAATCTTTCCTAAGCTAGGTTTCTGAGTAAGTCTGGGGCAAGGAATGATGGTGAAGGGGAAGAGACTTTGCAAGCACCATCTGCTGGAAGCCTCATTCAGTAAAAAAAATAAAATAAAATAAGGTATTAATAACTTCCTCATTTGCCTTGCACACAATCATTTCCAACCGGGTAAGTACTTTGAGGCTTTGCATTGATGAAGCGATGAGGCACCCAAGGTGCCTATGAAGAAGGTGACTGTGGCATCCTGACACCTGGATCTCCAAAGGCCAGTGACCACAGTCAGTGTGAGAGAGGCTCAGTGCATCCGACCCTGCTTCACTGGGCAGATGGCACCATCAGTGTTAGGCGTGGGGTGAGGGGACACGGGAGCAGAGAGGTGAGGACACCTGAGCGCTATGGGGACTCAGGAAAAAGGCTGGCTCGCCCCTGGAGGAGGATGTTAACAGGTAATCCAGAGTCCTGGGAGGGTCTGCCTACTTTTCAAATCAGGGGGAAGCAGGGTTTCTAAGTATTATAAACAGCCCAGGCCGACTGCTGCCTGGCACTCCATTCCTTAGATACTCAGAAAGCACTTGGTAAGGCAGGCAGTTAGTCAGCTTTGTAAGGAGACAGAAGTCCAGTTCCTGCTGCCAACTGTTCGAAACAGTCTAAATGGTCCTTGCTTCTGTTGAAGCAAATTCCTGGGGACGGGTACCTGGAATGGGCAAGGGATTAGACAGGACTTCACAGCCACTGACATGCACAAGAGGAGAAAGGAACGTTTCATTGAAGAAGACAGAACATCACTGATGTTGCATGAAACAGAAGAGCAGAAAGGCAAGACCAAGATGAAGTATTTAGCTTGAATAGCATTAAAATTCTTATTTCATAACCTGGTAAGTTTGGACATCTGAAGTTATTTAGAAAAGCAGCAGCAAGAAAATTACTAAGCATTTGTCACTATAAAAGGAGCTTATTTTATATATAACATATTATATATACAATTATTTTTTTTCCTTAAAAATGTCATATTACCAATATGGCAATGAAGACCAGCCACATAATTAGTAAGGCTCTGTACAAAATGAAAACACTGGGACTCTTGTACAAAAATATGATGTTCATGCTGCTTCTCAGAGGGAAGGTGGGGGTGGGTGGATGGGTGGGACGAGATCAACCAAAGAAATTCTGTGCATAACCCATAGACACAGACAATAGTGTGGTGAGGGGCATATGTGATAATTTCAACAATAAAGATTTTTTAAAAATTATAATGTTCAAAACGGCAACAGCAGAGCACGAAAGCCAAGCCTGGGCCTGGGTGACTGCCGAGGTCACATCCCAGGAAGCCTGGTGGTTTCTCTGGATGTGCGGCTTCAGCGAGCATCCTCTGAGAACAAGGACATCTGTTGGACAGGAATGCAGGAGAGGGCAGAGTTGGGTCTGAGTAACTGTGTCCTGAGAGGGGTGGTCCACAGGGATGTTTCTGAATTCCATTTCTTTCCCTTCCATTGACTCTAGCTCTGCCGGGAACACCCCTTGGAGCCCCGGGCAGACCCAATTCTGCGGAAGGCCGTGTTCCCATGGCGCAGCCTCAACTGCCTCTGGCAGAGAGCGAGGAGCACCAGTCCAGCATGCGCAGCAACACCTCCTCCGTTTACTTTCCTCCCTGGATCATGGCGTCTTGGAAAGTTTTGCTATTTGGAAGGGATTCTGGTGTAAAGATTTCGGTGGATGCTTTTGTGCTACTGGTTAAGTGAGAATCAGAGAAATTCTCAATTGTTCAGTGTCAGTCCTGTTCTAAAATCTTCATGCAGGAATGTGGTTCTTAGCTACCGCCTATTTTTTTTAATGAAGTCCTGCCTCTTCTGATTTAAAACCACAGTAGCACAGACCTTCCATCTTTGCTGAGCAAGGGCAGAAGGGGAGGAGGGAGGTTTAAGAAGGAATGCGACGCCTGTCCAAGCAAGAAGATAAAGAGGAGGTAGCTAGAACACTTCAGGGTTCAGACATCAAATTCCCACATCCTGGGACTTAACCCTGAAATCAGTAAAAATAAGCGTGTGTAAAACAGCTCGTAATTGCAACATACCCTGAGGATGAGGTGCTTCAATTCATCATCTGACAGAAAAGTTGGTTTGTAGTTTGCTTCCGTGTATGGATTGGTGGCACCTTAGGGGGGAAAGAGAAAGAGTTGGCTCACTTTGTATTCAGATAATGTCTCATTTTCCTTCACTGCCTCGAACCTACCACTGGAAATTTAAATTTGACCATCTTTTTTCTTCACCGAGATAAGGCGAGACCTGGTTTTGAGGAGAACCTTGTTATACTGAAGAGAATTCCACTGAAAAGAGAACACTGTTGCTCACAGGAGACTGAACGAGCGTGCTTTTGTCACCACGGGGAAAACCAAGGCTAATAGAAGGAAGTTACAAATCTGCTTCTGAGAGAAGGCAGCTCTAGAAGCGAACTGACTGAGGCACCTGGGGTCGCTCCCTCCTCCCAAGACGTGTATTAAATGGGCTGTCTAGAATCCCCGCTCCACGTGCATGGGAAGTCATCCAGCCTGGCAGGCCGAGTAAATATATCATAGAGGGCATTCAGTGTGAGCTCCCCTTCACTGCTAAGGAGCTAAATGAGCCTGGCAACCCAGAGAAATGCATCACTTCAGTAAATGCAATTCTAGCTCCTGGAATGGAACAAGACTTGTGTTTAAACGGCTGTCAGTCTGGCGTCTTTCAGAAGAACAATAACTTCACAGAAAAATGCCAGCAGTAAGTGACTTGGGATCTGCAGAATGGTGAGGGGAAGAGTGAAGAAATACAAGGAAGCAGGTCCATAACAATTCAAAGCACCAAGGGGAAGAAGGTAAACAGGACGTGTCTGTGACCTCCATGTCAGCCAACAAGCACGGATTGTTGATCTACACCTGCTTCTGTGATAACTGGAATTTGCACTCTTCTAATTTAATAGAAACTGGCTGATAGTTTAGCTTCTACCATCTCAGCTAGTATGAATTTTTTAAATGCCATTCTCCAAGCACAGGATACAATAAATAAATAAATAAATAAATATATATATAAATATATATATATATATATATATATATATATATATATATATTAATATGTTTTGTGTTTTTTGTTTGTTTGTCTGTTTTTTTACAGAGAGGAAGAGAGAGAGATAGAGAGTTAGAAACATCGATGAGAGAGAATCATCGATCAGCTGCCTCCTGCACACCCCCCACTGGGGATGTGCCTGCAACCAAGGTACATACCCTTGACCGGAATAGAACCCCAGACCTTTCAGTCCGCAGGCTGACGCTCTATCCACTGAGCCAAACCGGCTTCGGCAATAATTATATTTTTGAATAACGATCAGAAGTCAGACAATACCTGCTACGTCTTCTTTTTGGTGGCCTCGTAGAACTCAAAAGATGCAGTTCTTTTGCCACATGGCTTAGAGATCTGACTGAGCGCCCACTTTCCAATTTCCTCAAATAGCCCAAGACTAGCTGTGGAAAATTCCAGGAACAGCATTCACTAAAAGGCTGATAATGTTTCAGATTTCTCCTGTGGTTTGGATAAGTCACTTCCACAGTTCTGCCTCGTTTTCTCAACCTCACCACACTCAGGGAAGAAGGAAAATACTGCCTCTCCCATAAAGGGTCTGGCCAGTTTGGGAAAAATCCTAGGAAGATGACTATGTCAGTGTTCATTCCTGACGATTAAAATGCAGCAAGAATCATGAATCAGTAACTCTTCAGAGGGACCATGATGGATTTTCCTCTGAAATGTGAGACTGACTTTTCTGGGTCACTCAGTGCACTCACTTTCTGAAGTTTGTCATGTATGCATGGGGTCTGACTACATGCACACAGATGGGGCATCAGCGGTGCCCTCTCTGATATGTGCATAGCCTATCACACACAGAGACATGCTCACAGCCTCTACACTATGGGATAAAAGGCTGTGTAATTGTATCTTGATACTCACTTCATTGGGCACCATGTCTACTGCTGAAAATTACAGGCATATTACTCAAGGCGACACATTTGCAAATCAAACATTTGCCGTAGGAACATTCTAGGCAAGAGAGCTACATTTGTGGACAAAGGTGTAAAGGACAATAAAACTTGGGTCTCACCTCGTAATGTTTTCATGTGCTGAACAGCCATCCTCAGCACAGTAAGTTTATCTAATTTCCTGGACATGGCATTGCACGTTGGTACCAAAGAAGCCAATTCATCAATAAAGCTGTTCATTTTATCCCGACGCCTCTTTTCAATTTGACTGTGAGCTTCCCTGAACAACAATACGAATAATGAATTCTATAAAATGTAACCCAGCATTAAGGAAACAATGACAAAAATAAGATATAACTGTTTTCAATGATCATCTGACAAGGCAAATTCAGAATTTGCAGACTGCTTCAAACTGGATTTTTTTTTTTTTATTGAAGTCACTAAAGATGTGGCCTCTCTGCCAGATCAGGATTAGTTTTTTAAAATGCTTATCTCATCCTTCCTTAGAATTAAGAAATGGTTTTAAAAACTGTCTTTTCAGAGTAAACGGTATGGTTAATTTCTCATTTCTTTTCCTCTCAGCATCTATAAATTTGGATTTGAAGATGGAGGCAGATGAAAAAAGGGGGATGGTAGAGTTTTTAAAAGAGCAAAACACCCAGAACCGCCATCATATCAGCAAGGGTCCCGTGGTTCCAATCTCCAAGGATTGGAAGGAGCCTGCTGTGTGGCCTGCCAGAGACTCGCTGGTGGAGCTGCCAGATAATTAACGCTGCCATCCTTAGGTCACATATGACCCCACATAGATATAGCAGATGCTACATATGTCCCAGAACTTCCTACAAAGAGCATCACACTCCTCCCTCCCCGGAGCTGCTGCCCCTGCACACACTCCCTGGCTGGTTTGCACCTGCCATTTGTGACAGCCCCCTAAAGAGGGGCATCCATGGTGAAAATGCAGTTCCCTGCTGCCCTGGCCAGGCAGCTCAGTTGGTTAGAGCCTTGTCCTGATACACCAAAGGTGCAGGTTTGATCCCTGGTCAGGGCACATTCAAGAATAAATGAATGAATACATAAATAAGTGGAGCAACAAAGTAATGTTTCTCTCCCTCCCTTCCTCCCTCTAAAACCAGTGAAAATTAAAAATAAATTTTTTTAAAAGAAAAAAAAATGTCGTTCCCTCTGCTGCCATAGCAACAGAACCAAGAGAGCTCCTGCCAAGGCGGGTCTGCCAGAGAAAAGTGAGAAGTCTCGGGTTAGCCAAATTCTGCATCCCTCAGTTCTGTGTCATGACGGCTGCAGAGCAGGAGGGTTGAGGACCACATGGACAGGGATAAGCAAGTGTGGTTGGAGGCAGGAAGCAGGAGGCACCATGTTAGAGCACCTATTCCTGGGAGCAGGGCATCCCCCGTCCCACCTTCAGGAGCATTTTTCAGGGCAACAAGAATGAGGGGCAGCCCAGGAGCTGCATCACCGTGCCTCCTCCAGGGCCCTACAGGCAGAAGGATAACCTGCCAAACACTAGGGTGAAACCTTAGCCTTGATTTATTTTCTACTCCCTCCAAAGTCCTTCGGGTGATCCATGCTTAGACAGGAAAGAGTGAAGGCCAGCACAGCCTGCAGGGAGGGACGGGCAGGAGGCGCAGACATCACAGTGTCGAAGGAACTGCTAGACGGGGACCAGATGGGCAGAGCCTCCTCAGCGGCCCCCAGGAAACCAGGACAGTGAGAGACAGAATGAGGCCCCTTCCTACCTGGCATTTTTTATCCTTCCTTGGTGCTCTGTGTATTCTAACCTGGAAAAAAGAAAAAAAGAAAAAGATAAAAACAGAAACTAATGTCTTCTTCCCTTTTTAATTAATTTCTCTGTTTAATCCCTGTTATCTCTCTCCACAATACACAACGTTGATTGTTAGCCAGACTGGAAAGTGTGTGAGTGTGTGTGTGTGTGTGTGTGTGTGTGACAATCTTGAGCCCACAGGCTCATAGCCTCCTTGTTTATCCCTCACTCAGGACAGGGTGGAACCTGCACCAACTAATAGAATTTGCAATTATTCAAGGAAATGACTATAAGGACCCTGACGTTAAATGACTAGGTTCACGGTACCTTCCATGGGGGTCATCTTTGTCTGTGTCCATGCTTTCCCTGAAAAACAAACAACACAAAAAACACAAAAAAAGAACGTAACTATTAAAGACATACACAATGCCTTCTAATCATAATGCCAAGGGCTCTCATTTGTCCAGAAATCAAACAATTAGAAAGGTCAAATTCCATAGTACTGATTATGAAAGCATAATAAACATATATAAAGAAAGAAAAACAACTTGAAACTGCTAAAAAAAAAAAAATGCAGACTGGTTTTCCAGATCATCAGATGAAATTTATATATAATATCAATAGAGTTTTCATGTTAACATATTTTACCACATTTTGATTGTGTGAAAATTGGGAATAAGTTGCACTAATGGAAACTGTTAGTTCACCAGCGTATTCAAGTAACTATAATGCCTACAATAACTGGTTCTGGATAAATGGAGCTTATTCATTTGCAAAACCTATTAAGCATTGGATATCTGTGCATACATATAGTAGGCTGGATTGTGTGGGGGACTGAAGTGAGGAGGGGAATCAGAGCACCAACAAAAAAGTGCTGAGCAGAGCCCCGAGGAAGCCTTTCAGAGGCACTGCTAACCCCCGTGTTCTGGTTCTCAGCATGTGGGGAACACCAAGGAATGGGACAGAGGAGGGACTGGGGCAGAGACTGTGGGACCCTATTTGGCTGCAGAGGAGGCTGGGATCCCAGCATGAACCTGCCTCCCTTCACCAGACTCCAGAAATCCAAGTTTCATGGCATCTTATGTTTCAGTAGAAAATCGACTGGAATTCTCAGAGAAAGGAGTTCAAGGTCCCCAGGATCAGCTCACAGTCTTATTCAGCTCCTAAATTTATCGGCAGGCACTGACTCCCCCCTGGGCGTCTCCCCTGTCTCCTTATTCCACAGAAAGGAGGAAGTGCGCCCTGCACACAAGGTATTTCAAGGGCAAAAATGACTTTTTCAGGAGCACCAAGTCAGGGCATTCTAGGGCAGTGGTTCCCAGCAGCACTCCAGTATCCTCGCAGACAGTGTCTCAGGCTGGCCCCGAGTCTGGAGGAAATCACACAGTCACACGGGCAAATGGAAACTTCCCTCCCCTTTGTCTGGGTTTGTGTCTGTTTACTGAGGCCAGAGTGACTATCTCAGGGGAAGAAGAGCTCTGCCTGGCAGGTGTGACATTAGTTCCGCAAAATTATACGGAAAGGGATCATGGCTGCTCCATTAACAGGGTCTCCCGAATTCAAAAGACTTGCAAACTAGGGTCCCTGAGGGAAACCTGGTGACGAGGTTGGAAACGATAGATAACAGAGGACTTAAAACACGTCAACAGTCCACAGAAAACATCTCCTGGTCTCTCTATTGGGGAATGACTGCCACAAAAGAACACCCGCCTGGTCTTCACACTCATCCCTGGCATTTGCTCTGGGTCATCTAGGATAACTTACATATTAATCATAGCATCTCCTAGTGGGCATCTGACCTCCGGCCACTGAGCTCCCCAAGTCTGACCCATGAACTTCAGCAGAAAGGAATCTGCTGTAGCCGGGACTCCTCCTTGGAGATTTTCCCTCATTAAACAAAAGCAAACCTTTTAAATGGCCATTTGGGTAAGAATCCACACAGAGGCCTCAACAAAACAAACGTGCCTTTGACTGTTCTCTATACACTGCCTTTTGCCCTAGTGTTTGTGCGGAGATAGAAGAGTTGATTGTAAGTGTGAAAGTTTACTTACTCAAAAGAAAAGTCATCAAGTCTAAAAAAAAAAACAAAACACACAAAAATACTATTTAATATAACAGGTACATACTCGTTTCAATGATGTTTAAGGGCAATATCAATGTTCCTATGCTTTTGGAGATGACCACTACTTACTTATTCTGCAAATACAGGTGTCCCCAAAAATGTATACACACACTTTGAATAATTATAAAGGCAGTATTTGTTAAAATACATTTTATTTTCAAAATCGATCTATTGAAGTGTATATACACTTTTTAGGGGACACCCTGCATTAATCAACTGATGTCTTCCTCAGGGAGGGGCCCCCAGGCAAAGCTCTCTCTGAAACGGCTCAGATTACATCCACTGAGTCAGTCACTTGCTCAGAGGAGCAAAGGAAGGTAAAGGAACATGGCTTAAGGCTCTTCTTTCCCCCTGAAATGGACAGTCTGGGAGGGGGCAGATGCCGCAGCAGTGCTGGTGCTAGAGGTCCTCCCTCCCCCAGCTTGCTTCCGGGGCAAGGCAAAGGAAAACCACTATGTGGCCTCCTGGATCGCATCTTTCACCCCAATCCTTTCCCCAAAGGGGGTCCCCCTTCCAGGAGGAGCAGCCCCCGGACACTCCTCGCCTATGAACTGTCGCTGCGTTCAGCCGGAAGAGGACTGGTCTGAGGGCCTTACTGGTAGTCGGTGGAGCTGCCTTTCCGCTTGCGTGTGCAATCCACGCCACTGGTGCCCAGGGAGCTGGAGAGGAGGTCTGTGGCGCCCGGGGACATGAAATCACTGATTGTTGAAGAAATGTCCATCCTCTGGTCCGCCATTGGGAGTCTGGAATTGGGACAAGGAAGCACAGAGGCGAGTTTATTTCCAAGGGCTCTTCTAAGCGCTGGGGGCCAGGGTGGTGCTGGGCAGCGACAGGTGCCCATTTGCAGCACCTACACCTCTCACCCAGCCCCCGGAACAGGCGCTTGGCAGGTAGGAAAGAGCAGCGTGCCCACTTTAGAGCTAATACAGGTGATTTAGGCTCACTGTGCGTTTTCCTGAAAAAAACCCAGAGGACCCAGAGGTGAGGGCGTGGAAAAACTAAACCAGAGCCCAGGGCTCCGGGAGCTACAGCCCATGCTTCCCCTCTCTCCCGTCCTGCCCCCTCACCTCGCCCCCGTGCCAGGACCAAGTGTCCCAGATGTTCTGTGAGAGTCTTAATTTCATTTTCTTCCAACCAAATAAATCAAATCAATGAAACAGATGATTTACTTGTTATCTTTGTATTTTTGTTACAACTTTTGTAAATGTCATAGGAAAGCAGACAATATACTTCCCCAGACTATACGAGGTGGTGTGGGGGAGGGGAGAAGAATGGGACAAAAGTAAGTTTACAGTTGTTAGTAGGAAAAATGATATAGTAATTAATAAATAACAATACAAGAAATACAGTAATAAACTCTTTTTTGTGTGTGTACTCACAACTATAAACCTACTTTTGCCCAGTATGGTCCCTCTCTCTCAGCACCCCAGGCAGTCAGTCCTATCTTCCCTGACTGTCCTTTCATACCCAGCATCCCCTGCAACCTTGCATAATGAGATGAAGACACAATAAAAATTTGCAAAACATTTTAAGAATTCATATTTTAAAATCACAAAGTGAGCTGGCCCAAAAAAAGAGGGTGACAGGTACCTTACAAGGAACTCCAGCTCCAAACCGGGTTGAAGAGGGCTGTGCTGCCCGCAGTCAGGGCCGGGCTGCCCAGGATGTGGCTGGGGCTCACTCCTCCTCTCTGGCCCTGAGCTTCCTCATCTGCAAAGCAATGGCTAAGTATGAGCACTTGTTTTCACTGTTACTATTAGGCTCACAGATTCCGGAACCAGGCCCACCTGGTCAGGTACAGTGTCCCAACTTTTCACTTTCACAAGCACTGGAGTGAGCATCTTGGTGCGTATATCTCTATGCATTTGAGCTATCATCTTTTAGGATAAATTTCTAAAAGTAATTTAGAAATTTAGAGCAAAAGGGGACACACCTTGTACGTTTGGTACACACTGAAACACTATGCTCCGGAGAACTCCAGTAATTTATATCCTCAACATGAGCTCTTGTCGATCTGAAGGTAAGTACAGACCTCATTGTTTTTTACTTGTATTTTTAAATGACTACAGATGGTGCTCCTATGTTAGAGGCATCTCTCGGTTTTCCTTTGTGTTTACTCATGGCCCATTTTCCACTAAGTTGTTTTCAATAGCTACAGGCCTCAGACCATGTTCACCTGGGCATGATGGGAGAAAAGCTTATAGTCCCCCTCCTCTCGCCCAGAGGCCCAGTGCTGCCACAATCTTGACTCCCCACTCCATTTGTTCACCCGCTCTGCTATCGAGGACGCCATACTTTCTCTTTGCTCCTCAAACCCCTAACATCTCTCAGATCCTCATTCCCAGGTGATAACTGCTTTCTACTTTGCTGAGAAAATAGCCCACCCAGGTGCTGCTGGTTAGGACCCCACACCTAGCGAGTGCCGAGTTCATCCTCTCTGATGACTTAGGACACACACCAGGAGTCTCTCCCTGCCCACAGTCCCGTATCACCCACTTTCCCGTCCCCTGGGTCATTCTCATGAGGATAAAGGCACATTGCAAACAACTCTCGTACTAGAGGAAAGAAACCTTTGAACTCCATCCCCTCCAGTTACTGCCACATTTCTGTTTCCAATTCTTTTCCTCCTATTCTCTATAAACCAACTCTAATCAGGCTTTTGTCCCCATCATTCCAATAAGACAGCCTCCACTGTCACCAGTGACCTCCTCACTGCTAAGTCCAAGGGTGCGTGTTCCATTCGCTCCCTGTTTGACACAACGGTGACATCTGATAGCTCTGATTTCTCCTCCTCATTGTCTCCTGGTTTCAGAGATGCCATCTTCTCACAATTTTTCTTCTTTGTCAGAGGCCACTCTTTTTTGGTCTCTTTAGCTGGTTCTTCCTCATCTCCCTCACCTCTAAATGAGGGTCCGATGGTGTCCTTGCACCTCCCTTTCTGTCTATACTCCTTCCCTAGGAGATCTGTCCAGTTTCACTGCTTCAAATACTAGCTATGCTAGGACAACTCCCAAATTAACATATCCAGCCCAGACCCCTCTCTCTGAATTCCAAGCTTGTATAACCATCTCCCTTTGAATGTACAACAGAGACCTCGAACTAAAACATCCATAACCAAGCCCTTGGCTCTCCCCAAGCCAAGCCTCTCAGTCCTGCTGATGCCAGTAAGCAGTATTTCAATCCTTCTGGTTCCTCAGTCTTAAACTGGAAGTCGCTCTCAATCCTCTCTTTCACAGCTTGCATCCAATCCATCACTAATAATAATAGCTCAACATTAAAAAAAAAAAAAAATCCAAAATCCAGCCACTTTTCCATTTTTTTCCTTTCTATTTCTGCTCAAATATCATTTTATCAATGATGCTTCCTTGAATATACATGTAATACAACTCCCTGCCAATCCTCCCTAACCACTCCTACCCTGTTTTATTTTTCTCTATAGCCCTTGTAAAATTGTGGCCTACACTAGACTACATTCTTCCCCATTAGACTATTAATATAAGCATGAGAAAAGCAGGGGTTTTGTGTGGTTTACTGCTTGCATCCTTAGCACCTGGACCACTTTCTAGCACTCACAGGAATCACTCAATAAGTGGATGCTGAATGAATTTATTTGTATATTAGAAATATATCCTTTGTTCATCATAGATGTTATAAATACCCCAATTTTTGCCTTTCAAATTTGTTTATGGTATTTATATGTGATAATAAAAATGACATTAAAATAAAAGCCTTTTCTTACTCCCCAAATCATAATGATATTCTCTTTACTAATATTTTTATAGTTTTACTTTATTAGTTCTTCAACCCATTTGGAAATGATTTTTGGTACACTAAAAAATTCCCAACTTTTTTTCCCTTCAATGGATAACCATCCCAACACCATTTACTAATCTACACATCCTGTTGTCCATCATTTGAAATGCCATCTTTATTGGTTTATTGACTGTCTCTGGACTTTTTAATCTGTTCCTCTGATTTAGTTATTTCCATTCTAGTACTACACTATTTATTATTATGGCTTGATAATATATTTTCCTTCCTGGTAGAATAAATCCTTTTCCTCATTCTTCTTTATTTCCTGGATATTCTCATTTATTCTTTGAGAAGCGTTTTATAATCATTTAGTCATTCTTATATTATTACTGACATTAAGAGAAGTGGGTGGGGACTGAGAATAGAGCCTGCCGTCAGGGTCCTGGTGGCCCTTCGGGCTGCATTTTGGGCATGAGTGCCACCTCCAGCCCACCTCTCTTTGTGAACAGCTAGGCGCCAGTGTTTCCCAAACTTTTGACATATGTGTACCCCTTCTATAATTTTCGTAATGCTGAGTACCCCTCGTACTCATGAGAACGTAGAATTAGGCACAGCTAAGCACGGAGCAGTGCCTATCCCCACCAAACTCTTCCCGTACCCCTGGGGGTACGCGTACCACATTTTGGGAAACACTGACAGACAATTGCATGAGGCAGAATATTTGAAGTTTCACCACTTCCTGAAGGAAGAACTACCCTGGAAGCTGCCCATGAGCCAGTGGGCGAGGGGGGTGGGAGGAAATATGACAACTTATTACCTGAAGTTAAGAGTTCTTCAACCTCGGATCCACCGTGGGGGAGTAAGGAGCCACTGGACTTGGTCACCTCAGGGCGATTTTCATGTTTTGCAGTTTCCTTTCAAGCAGTCAACTTCTTCCAGAAACCTGCAGCAGGGCCCACAGAAAAAGAAAACCCGGACATGTCACTCTGGGGTAAATACACTTTAAAATCTTGTATTAGGTAAGGGAGACGAGGGAGCTAGCTCAGAGCTCCTAGTTACAGGGAGGAACTGGGCTGCCCACAATCCCTCCGGCAGCGCCCGTTAGACTAACTGCAGACACCCGAGGGGGTCACGTGTTGGTGGTTTAGTTTAACAAGAGAGATGTTAGTAGGAGATGTTTTCTGTTAAAAACAATGCCTTTTACATGACTAAACACGGGTTTTGGGACATGGCCTTAAGAAAGATAATTATATTTTTCACTTCTCATACGGGGTCAAGCAATAACAACATTTGAGCAATAATTAAGTGTGCACTTTGCTTCGAGCCCTGTTCTTATTGCATTGTATAGAGTAACGCACTTAAACCTGAAGGATAACGCTACGAGGCTGATATTGTTTTCTTCATTTTACCGAGGAGAAGGCTGGGATAGAGAAGTGAAGGAACAAGGCAAGGTCACGCAGCTGGGGTGGTGGGGCACCAGAGGCCACCCTCACTGCTAATGTCACTCAAACCTCCCCCCACCTCAGGTGAGGTCAGTTACCTAAACGCAGACAAGGAACAAGGGGAAACAAGTCTTCAGAAAACATTGAGCCAACACAAAATGCCAGCAGAGCCAATACTTTAAGCATTTTAGCTTGCTCCCTGAAGGTTTAAGAAAATGTCCGTGAACCTTAAGCACGTCTGTGCATGCACAAAGCTGAGGGAGAAATCAGCCGGGAAAAGGCACCTGCTCATGATAACAATGTGGGCACTGCCCTGCCCATCTCCTCCTGGCAAGACAAGGGGTCTCTGCCCTGGGTTCCCTGCATCTGGGAGGAGGTGCTGGAAAGGAAGACGAGAGGCATAGCCACCCTCTGCCTCCTGCCCTGCTCTGCCCTGAGATGGCAAAACTTTGCTTGTAGGTGGGGCTTTACTGACCTCGCTGAAGCAAGAGTCCCAGCGATTCCCATTCCACTGGCTAATTCTTGCTGTGGACTATCTATC